TATAATTTCCAGATCTGATTACCATAATACATTGCAGATGGGTCTGTGCTTCAACATGGTTCAGAAAATGAAACTGAGTTAAAAATCAGAATGAGAAGGTTAAGATCTTTTAGCACAATACTATTCAGTGTCTTTTCCAGGACTGCTGACTCCTAGGGATAGAGTGCATTTAGCCATGGCCAATTACCTAATTTTTGAACACCTTTCCTCAAGGGCTCTTCCGTTGATGATTCTAAGGAAGCATTCAATACATATTTATTCTAGCAGACTTTCAAATGCAAGCAAGAGAAATGTTTTATTGTTCTTTTTATGCCTCTACAAGGAACAAACTGAAGAAGATGGTGATAACACCATCAAGAAGTGGTAGGTAACAAATAGTACCCTAAACGAAATAGCAATATAAAGAAAATCTATCAGGTCCTGCTACAAGGAAGAAGCCTAGTCGCATAGTTTGAACAAATAAATAGCACATCTGTAATCGGCCTATCAGGTGACAAAACAGACACTTAAGCAGCCTAAATGAGCTAATGAAGCATGAGACCATGACAGGACTAATGGGTCAACTTAAATAAAACCAGTGTAAGCCCTTTGAAAATAAAAATGGAAGTAACTGAAAAAATGACAGATCATGTTAAGACAGCAGATGAAGCCCTGGAGATGGGAGTTATTCACCAGGTGCCAATAGTGAAGCTTTAAAGGCAAACCGCAGCTCACTCTGTCTTTGGACTACTACAGCAGAATATAAGTTGAATAAATAAATACACAAAAGAGGCAGATAGCTATAGCAGAGGGGTCCAAGAATCAGTCAAGACATGATATCCTTCTTGCTGGCTGTATTTGCACAAATATTTCCAGAACCTGGATGGCACTGGGAGAGAGCACAAGGCAACAGTTCCCATGCCCAAAAGGAAGGATGCCTGATGACATTATAATACATTTCTGCAAAAGCCTAATGAAATAAAAATAAAATTATGTTTAGCAAGGTAGTATGTTTTTCCAAGACCTCAGTAGAGAAATACTTGAAAAGAAGCAAATCTTTCTGTCGGCTTACTGAAGAGCTAAGAGCAGGCAACATTCTGTACCACTGGGGTTTCCCATTCTGAACTAATATAATGAAGGACAACATGGCACACTGTGCATAACAATGCATGATGCAGTGAAAAAATTAATCCCACTTTCAGTATCAGCCCTGGAGGGAGACAAGCCAATGAAAAAATGAGATCAGTAATGAGCTAACAAGTATGGAGGTTCAGAGGAAGGAAGGAATTCGCTGCACTCTGCCCAAAAAGGCATGCAGAGTGGGAATAATGAAAATCTCCAAGCGCAGCTTGATCAACTGCTTCTGAAAATGAAATGCATAAATGGCACAAGATAACACAGGATGAACCTGAGGATGACCAAGGGGAAAATATGGATTCTTTGGACATTTTGACCCGGGGTGGGGCAGTTAGTTGAATCCATTCTGCCAGCAGTGTTTGTTCCGTTGGTGACTGGACCCTATGAGTACAACCCTTTGGATACACCTTTCTGGGCAAGGTGTTGGAGCGGGTGGTGGCGGGACAACGCCAGGCACTCTTGGATGAAACTGATTATCTGGGCCCATTTCAGTCTGGCTTCAGACCCGGTTATGGTACCGAATCTGCCTTGGTCGCCCTGTACGATGACCTGTGCAGGGAGAGGGACAGGGGGAGTGCGTCCCTGTTGGTCCTCCTGGACTTCTCAACAGCTTTCGATACCATCGACCACGGTATCCTTCTGGATAGGCTGGCGGGATTGGGAGTAGGAGGCACTGCATGGCAGTGGTTCCACTGCTACCTTGCCAGCTGATTCCAGAAGGTGGTGCTGGGGGACTTTGGCTCTGTGCCATGGCAACTCTGCCATAGAGTACCTCAGGGCTCCATTTTGTCCCCCTTGCTATTCAACATCTACATGAAACCGCTGGGAGAGGTCATCAGGAGGTTTGGGCTGCAGAGTCATCAGTATGCTGATGACACCCAGCTCTACCTCTCTTTTTCAACTAATCCAGGTGAGGCAGTGGCTGCCTGGCTGAGGTAATGGGCTGGATAAGGGTCAATAAACTGAAGCTCAATCCAGATAAGATGGAGGTCCTGCTGGTAGGTGATTCAAGTTTCCGGGTAAGCGACCTGGGTCCTGCCTTGGATGGGGTTGCACTCCCTCTAAAGGACAGGGTCTGCAGCTTGGGAGTGCTCCTCGACCTGGAACTGTCCCTGGAAGCCCAGGTGACAGCAGTGGCGAGGAGCGCTTTCCTTCAGCTCCGGCTGATTCATCAGCTGAGTCCTTACCTGGAGGAGAATTGCCTGGCAACAGTGACACATGCACTGGTTACCGCCTGTTTGGACTACTGTACTGCACTCTATGTGGGGCTGCCCTTAAAGACGGTCCGGATACTTCAGATGATGCAAAATAGAGCTGCCAGGATGCTGTCGGGGACTGGTTGCTATTCTCACATAACTCCAGTCCTCTATCAGCCCCATTGACTTCCCATTGAAGTCTGGGCTCAATTCAAAGTGCTGGTTATTACCTATAAAGCCCTAAATGGCTTGGGACCAGGATACCTAAAGGAACACCTTTTTCCCTATATGCCCTCCCACCCCCTAAGATCAGCAGCAGAGGCCCTCTTCCAGGAACCCTCTTTGAAAGAGTTTAGGAGACAGAGTATTCAGAGGAGAGCTTTCTTTGCGGTGGCGCCCCAACTATGGAATGTGCGCCCTAGAGAGGTCCACCTGGCGCTGTCATTATATGCTTTTCGGCACCTTTTTATTTAACCAATATTTTAAAGTTAATTAATTTTAATGGTATATTTATTATTTAATTCATTTTAACCATGTTATTTTATACTCAGTCGTGGTGTAGCCAATTTATTTATTTGTTTAGGATTGGTGGGGTTTTAATGTTTCTAAACCACCCAGAGAGCCCTCTGGGCTATTGGGGTGGTATATAAATGCAATAAATAAATAAATTCAAGACTGCTGACAAGTGGATTAGATACACAGGAAAGAACGATGCAATCAATTTGGTTAGAAACAAAAAGGGAAACAAGCTGTCCATAAACAAAGAAATAAGTCTGGAATTTGCTCCGTTCTTTTGCTTTCTTTACACATTCAGAAAACCAAATGTGAAATCAATTCATTGTTATTGTTGAGAATTTTTATTTATTTGTTTATTTAAAACTTTTTTAGACCATCCCTTACCATAATCTGGGGATGGTTTAACAATAAAACAAAATAGAATAAAATACAGCATCCTAGTCAAATTCTTAATCGATCAACAATAAAACCCATATTAAAAACAGTCAAACAGTAAAACATTGTGGGGGGAAAGGTTTTAACCTGGCACAGAAAAGAATAAAGTGACCGCACCAGGCAAACATCTCCGGGGAGCAAATTCCACAATCAGGACGCCACCGCAGAGAAGGCCCTTCTCCAGGTAGACACCCTCCTCACCTCCTTCAAGGAGGGTTCCCGGAGAAGGGCCTCTGCCCCAGATCTAAGGGGTGGGCAGGCACATATGGAAGGAGATGCTTCTTCAGGAATGAAGAGGGAGTTGTTCTGGGTGCATGCTTCAAGACCAGGGAGACTTGGACTCTTTAGGTGGGGGGAGCCTTGGCTTCCAAATGTTGAGATGGAAGAGGTGGGAGAATTTATCTGACAGCCACCCTCTCCAGGTGTTCAGGTGGACCCTGAGAATAGCCTGTCTGCATCTGTCTGGAGGGAGTGTAGAACAAGAGCCCCAGGACATAGACAAACCCAGTACAATCTTTGACCCCAAGATGTGGCATCAGGAAAGAGGGGCTAGCCAGCTAGGGAGGTGGTGTACAGCTAAGAGGCTGCCCCACTTCCAGAAGGTGGGGCTCAGGGTTACCCAAAGGAAATCTCACAGGTATTTTCAAGTGTGAGTTCAGAGTATCACTCTGTGCATGCTCAGAAACTCTTTTTTTGCTGATTATGCTTTACTGGATGTATACTGGAGAATAAAGAGCTCTTGTCAAAGACCGGTCTGTGGTTTTGGCAGTGTGAAGGGGAAAACCTAGCTCCTGACAGCTATTTAGAAGACACTGTGGAGAAGGTATTGCATAAATCAAAATCTTTTAAATTGTTTTGTAACAATTACAAACTAATGTAATCATATTTTTTTAAAAAATAATACATTTCCAGGTAGAGATTTATCCTCCACTCCTACCAGGTTCAAAGCTTCCTTACTCCACATCAAGTTAATCCTAGAGGAGGAGTCAGGAGCAATGCCACAAATTATTGTGCTGCCAAGGCATGGTAAAAGCTATCAAACAAATAGAATCATAAATAAAGAAACAAATGTAGACCAATACTACTAATAAAACAAATTTCTGCCAAATTAACTGGGACAATAGCAAAGCAATTGGCATCAAAATATATATCAGCACAAACAGTTTTATTTTTAAAAAGAGCAGTAGCAGATTCCATCTGGAGGAAACCCAATGCGATTTATGGTAGCAATCAAGCAAGCAAGTAAGCATTTCTTTCTTTGGATGATAAAATAGAATGGCCCTTTTTAATAAAGTTATTAAGAATAATAAATCTTAGCAATATATTCTTAAGAGTAATAATCAAGCATAAAATTATGTATTTATTAACGGATTCAATTCTAATTTAACAGATATATAAAGAGGCACTACACAAAAACATCCTATATCACTCCTACTTTTTGCTTTCTCAATTGATAAATTTAACTATTGCCATTCAAGCAAATGTTCTGATCACGCAAGGCTTAAATTGGCTTATTTTGTAAGATATCTTATTTCATTATTATTTTTATTATTATAACATTTCTATGTTTCTAGTCTTTTTGTTTATTTTTATTGTAAGATAAATTTTAAGGAGATGGAACTATTGGCCAAAAGCAGTTAAAATGTTAAGCAAAGAAAGAGATTCTCCAGAGAATGCTGACAAATGCAAGTCAGTTAATTATGTTTGTTTAATAGTTTTCTCTTGTGATTTTTTTAGGCAGGAGGGAAGCATTATCACCCCACTTGTGCCAGGTGTGTGCGTTGCCACCAGATGTTCACAGAAGGAGAAGAGATGTACCTCACAGGTAGAACAACATTTTCTGCTGTGAAAGGCCACACCATGGAGTGTGGACAGAATGGGCAGACGTTATGTTTCTCAGATCTGTTTGGTCGTTCTCTCTCTCTCTCTCTCTCTCTCTCTCTCTCTCTCTCTCTCTCTCTTTCTTTCTTTCTTTCTTTCTTTCTTTCTTTCTTCAACCCCAAGATCTACCACCAGAGCCAGACATACTTCTTAGAATTAAAAACAAAGCCAGAAATTAGGATGCCTCTGAATACATTCTGATGAAGACATTTGTTTTCAAGTGTTAGAACTGTACTGTGCTTACATCAGGTGTGAGCAAAGGGTAGATCTCCAGATGCTCAGAACTTCGACTCCTAGAAGCTCCTGCCAGCATGGCCAAGGTTCAGGAATTCTCAGAGTTGAAGTCCAAAACATCTGGATATCTACTTCTCCCTATCCCTGGCATATACAAATTCTATGCTTGGTAATTTCAACATTTTTTCCATTTTTACAGATGAAGTTGGGCTACATAATGAGAAAAAAGTAATTTTGTTTCTATTCTTAAACAAGGGCAGTAACCTTGCCAATCTAATGCAAATCACCAAAGAAATGTCAGTAGATGCTGATCCACTTTCTGGCTGCCCTCAGTACAAACAACCTTGTTATTACAAACTAGCACTTAGCATTCCTTACGGCTATTGCGAGGAGCGAGCGTTTCTTGAGAGTCATGCTCTGCCTCTCTGAAGGTCACAGAGTCCTCCATCATGATGGAATCCAGATTTTCTCAGAGATACAGGGACTCATCTACCCTGCACATCACATGAAATGCAGCTCCTTCTTATCAGTCCCTCTTCAAGGAGAAGTATTTTGAGAAGTTGACAGAGAAGCCACGTGACTAGGCCCCAGGACAAACTAATTGGAATTTTCTGATTGTAACAGGCTAAGCATTCTCAGGAGATTATGATATATGGAAGAAGAAGAAGAAAAGAAATTACTGGGTCTCTGTGTGAGTTTGGGGTCCTTTTCCCCGCACAGATCTATTTTTAGCTGGGGGGGGGGAGAATATTTTTCATAGGCGAGCCCTCGGTGCTTGTCACCCTGATCCACTAATTACCCTGTGTCTGTCTGCACTAATTGCAGTGTTGGTTCCTTGCCACCCTCACGCCACAAGAGGGATGGGCTTGCTTTCTGCGTGGGGTGGCAAATGACAGTTGCTTCACCATGTGGGAGTGGATGTGCCATTAGTGTCACATAGACCCATCAGCCAGCATGGTGCTAGAAGAAACCCCACGGCTGTGATGGGGCTGCGGAGAAAGGGCAACTTCCCAGAGTGTTGCACCTGGCCCTCATCCATGGCGCTCCGCCTGGGAGAGGCCCCCGTTGCTATGGTGCCCACGGCTTGCAGTGTAGCGCCTCAAAGTGGGCCACATGGGTGGGTAGAAGGAGAAAGGGGGCAGAGGGCAGGAAGGGCAGTGGTGACTTTAAAAGCTAACAATTCATACTGTGGCTGGAAGGTAGGTAACTGCATGGTCCTACGAAGGTCACAAATGGATTTCACACACAGTGCTCCAATTATATCTGAATGCATGGGACTTTTTTGTCCGTATGTTCCCAGAATAAGGCAGAAATGACTCAGGTTCCTTTCCCAACTTCATTCTAACCTTGACTTTCTCCCCCTCTGCTTGGCTGTCCTGAACCTCCTGAGTCCACTGCTGTGGATTCATATTTATGTCTTAAGGTCCATTTTAGTTGCAGCCTAGGAAGGATAATAGATGTCTGTTTCTCACAGAAAATGGTGAAGCAGAAGCAGTCCAAAACCTCGATTTATTGACTACATGTCTTTCCTGGGAAATAGATACATGTATTTCCTTCCCCAGGCTCCCCACGTCATCTTTATATATGCATGCGTATATACTTATGTGCAAATGTGTGTGCATTTGTGTTGTGTCTCCAAAAAGAATGTCACAACAACAGAAACAGTCTGTAGAAGTTACTTTTTATTTTAAAAGACCTACATTTTATCTGAAAGATTTACTTTTATTTTTCCCAGGGAAAAAACTGGGAAATGAACTCTGCCTTGGTTCTGAGCCAGCGTAGCAAACAAGTACTCACGTCTTGCAGTCTGGGATGCAGTGCTTACCAGGCTGGGCTCAGGAGTCAGTATCACCAGGCACCTGCTGAGACTTAGACCCCTGCAGGGAGTGCTGGACCCTCCCGCAACAGTATCCATCCGTTTACCACACACTTTTCCTCGGGACAGTTGTGTAGCCTGGGCCCTGGGGGAGAGGGCTCATGAGAGAGCAGCGGTCGCTTGGAGAGGATGAGCTGGAACCAGGTTGGAACTTGGAACCAGCAGTGGCAGTTTGGTAAAATGAGGGCTGATTTTTCTGCTGGAGTTTGTTGTGCTTGATGTGTTTTGCGCTCGGCAAAAACAACTCATTCTGGTTCAGCTCAGAGCCTACAATCGCTTGATACACTTTCCAATCATCTGCCTGGAAGTTTGGATTACGTCTTTATATGGCTAGGTACATAAAAGCATGTCTAATTTGAAATGTTCAGGGGCCTTTGCACCTTAAAAGAAAAAGAAAGAAAGACAGGTGATCTTACCTTAACTTTTGCCAGCTCCAGGAAGTAGCGAGTTGTAAAACCGAGGGCAATAACAGGGCATAGGAGAAAGATACAGTCACAAATCTGAGGCATGTGGAGTCATATTACAATGTCAGTGTTGTGTCTCTTCCTCGCATCCATCCTTTCAGCTCCAGTTGATAGCATGTTCTTTTGACCACACCATTAAGGTGGAAGGAACCTAGGAAAGTCAATAAATCCCTGCAAATCAATGATAAGCAGCAGCATCATGAAGTCTGAAAGCTTGTCTCTTTCTCTCCTTCCATCAGACCATGTAACCATGAAAGGAGAGACAAGGGGAGAAAGGGAAGGTTGGAATTTCTCTCTAGTCTCCCATGCCCAACTGAGGTTGGACTCCTACGTTTGTGCCACATTGATGTACATCCTTTCTGCCAAAGCATCTGAGCTGGGGCTATTCTGTTGTGCTGCATTGCCTGTTTTATTCAAAGCTGACCCTGTATTATTGGAGCGCCCGGGAGAAGGTCTTATTTCTTCTTTCCCATGTGGTGTGTTTGATCCTCTCCTTTGTCTCTTAACATCCCGTCGCTGCTTTCTGTTGCTGCAGCCTTTGACTGCCACCGGTCACAGACAACACTGCCAGCTATGTTACTAGTCCAGAGGAGGGGGCTAGAGCAAGGGTTTTCATACAATCAACTAGATAGTGATACATTCATGCCTTGCCCTAGCTTTTCCCAACCTGTCAGACCAGAGGAAACAGGAAGTGCTTGGAACCATTAAGGGAGTACCAAGCAATGAACTCCTGAGCACCCCCTGCAGTAGTGGAGTTACTCAGGCCAGGAATTAGCTAGTTAATATCCAGGACCAGCTTCCCATTTGTTCAATGGACAGCTGACTCCTAGTTTTCTATACAGGCATCATACCTGGAGAGAGGCTGGTTGTGATCAAAGGGCATGGATCCAGCGCTTGGCTTACTGGAATGAGCTTTTGAGACTTACGTATGCTTCTTTAGGCATTTGACTGCAGTATACCTGCTCTTTGCCAGGTGGCTGGAAAGTCCTGCTTTTGGGCTGGAGGGGGGGCGGGGGTTACACTAGGTGGCCATTTAAGTTCATTCAACTGTATAATCCTGTAATGTGCATATATAATGACTAAGATGGGTACCAGAATAGCTATACTTCCTTTTAGTAGCAAGGACACACTGCCAAATTCCAATTCTGAATAGGGATTGATTTTTCTCTTAGCTGAATTAGCAGAGTCCTAATCAGTGCTTAAATACTGGTCTTGGCATATTTATGGCAGTTTGTTGCACAAATGCTGTCTCTATAGTGCTAAGAAATGTGCGGTTCAAAATGTTTCTGACCAACTGGAGTCTTGGATGTAAAGATGTATGAAGATAGGAATCAGAAGAGCAAAATTAATGGGCCACCATGCAGGCAGGAAAAGGGCCTTGATAAGTGCTGGGAATGGCCAGTGCCAGGCCAGGAAGAAAGAGTATTGGAAGCTGTCTGTAATCTTGTTCTCTACAAACCTGAGTAATGTATGTATATCACGTATCTGTTGCACTGCTTGTAGTTCTGATGCACTGTCCTCTGTTTCAGGTTCCGAAGTGTGGCATCCCATCTGCAAACAAGCAGCAAGAGCAGAAAAGAAGCTAAAGGTAACACTGAGTAGGGGATGGATGTGAAGGAGAAATTTAGCAATGACTTCTGGTGATGCCTAAAGTGGCAACATATTTGAGATTGGAAGAGAGAGTTTATTTGCTTGCTTGGAAAGCTACTGTGGAAAAAGAGGCAATCTAAAACTTGTGTAGTATCTGATGGGATGGTTGTGCTTGGATTGGCTATTGAGCAGTATAAAATGTAACAAATAAATACACAAACACAAGCTCAAACCATAGAGTTCATTTCCTTTTCTCAAATCTTCATACTCTGTTCTATTGGTGCACAGCAACAAAACCCTTGTGTAATTTGCCTCTAAACCTGGATCCTCCAGATCTTGGGTTATAACTCCCATCAGTTTCAACCAGTATATCCAGTTGTCAGGGAAGTTGTAGTCCACCAACATCTGCGAAGGGCTGTTTAACATCTGAAGGCCCAACCATACATTATGAAGAACGCATGGCTGCTGCCAACCCATATGGCCTGAAAACAGCCCATATCTACCTACCCCCTATGCACACACTGTACCTCCCAAGCAAGGAAACGCTTCGATCTTATCACTGTCACTTAGCATTTCCTTGCAAACAGCAACCAGTGAAGCTGAAGGAGATGAACACTGAATGGATGACATCAAGACAGACCATTTGTTTGCCATCTGTTATCAATGTGGTTCACTGTGTGTGAGAGAGAGGGTGGTATGGATAGGTAGGATGCTGCCAGCATTAGCTCCACATTTTTGTGTGCCCTTGTGCAAGACAAGCTCAGTGGTCTCCCCCCCTCCACTTAGTCTACCTTCTCACCCCCGCGGCTACCCACTGCTATTGCCTCTCACCCTCCTTCCCATCAGGGAGAGCTTGTGGCATCTCACTACCACCACTGCCAGGGCCTGAGTGGGAGGCAGCTGAGCGAGCAGGTTGCAACGGCAAAGAGGAAGACCAATCCCAGGGAGCTCCTGACAGTGAGGTCCTGTTGGGGTGTGGGCCCTCAGCAGATGCCCAGCCATGCCTACTCTTGACAGAGCCCTGGCTGGTTTCGGCTAACACCTTCTGTAATGCCTCCTTAGGCCCTCAGGTATATGCAATTAGTACCAATGGCAAGTAGCAGGTGCTACGCTGATTTTTCACCATTGTTTTATGCATGGTAGCTGGTGTCTGCATCTGCAGCAGGTCATTTAGATGAACCACATGCATGGAGCAATGGGGTAGGAAAAGAAGTATGGCAAAACATACAGGAAATAAGACAGAAGAATGTTAGGCAGGGCATCTTTGTCTTACTAGTGTTATGGAATGGCCTTCTAAAAGTAGTTTGTCTGGCACCATCTTTACAATCTTTTTGGTGCCTGGCAAAAACAGTCCTCTTCTCCAGACATTTTAATAATCGATGTTATACTTGTTAATGTTATATTTGTACTGTTTTTACCTTTAATATATTTTAACTTACTGATATCTAACCTCAGCTGAATATTTCTCTGTTTTATTATGGATTGTTATTTTATGTAATATTGTGATCTGCTTGGAAAGTCTTTGGACTAGTAGAGCAAAGTAAAAGTTGAATAAACCAATGACAGTGACAGTAGTGAGGTGCTGCCCATTCTGACCAAGGTTGGTTGCCATGTTTCCTTCAGTGTCGTGGATTAGGCAGAGGTCAGAAAGGCTAGATTTATAAGCCATGATGTCCTTTTCTGTCTACACAGCACAGAAGAACTTCAGAAACCTCCATCTCCCCACCTGGCTCCAGTATTGGTTCCCCCAACCGAGTCATCTGTGTAAGTACGATTCTGGCATAATTCTGCAGGAGCAGGCAGAATAGGGATCTCAGTTCCCACAGGTGCAACTGGGGAATAGGATCCCAGGAAGGGTGAGGAAAAGGAGGAGGAAAAGAGATAATCTAAGACGCCCACATAGCTGTTGAGAATTAGATTTATATGGACTGAAAACAGTCTTCCAGATCCAGGGAGTGGTGCAAAGGCAAACACTGGACAAGTTCAGCTTGCTAAATCTGCAGTTTGAATGCCTGACTGCCAAAGGCCCTTGTGGTTACTTTGAGCATCGTCTGACTGGGGGAAAAAATGGATGCATGCTGCTAAGGTGATTCATGACATTGACGTCAGTCCCAACCCCGGGGCTCATGTCCACTGTTGCCTCGTCTTTGCAGGAAGAACCCTGTCATCTTCTCCAAGGTTCAGTGATGTAGTGGCAAATTTCTAAGTGCTAGTACTCGTCATGACAGTCCCCATTGCACACACCCAAGGAGATATCAAAACTTCAGGCAGCTGTGTTGATCAATATATATAACAATATATTGTTGCTGGGAAGGTCCATGTATCCCCAGCTAATGTGAGGATTAAGCACTAAAGGAACCCAGAAGTCTGAGGTGGGGGAGGGGGTGGCAGATGATGTCACAATCCCTGCCTATTAAAAAGTCCTGGCACCTCCTCCTCTTAGCTCCACTGCACCACTTCCTAGGTTTGATCCTTCCCTCTTCTTTCCTCTGTAGTAACAATCTGGCCCCTGCCTGCTCTGAGGATGCCTTCAACCTGTGTATTCCAACTTGCCCCTTCCCCCTGCATCCTCAGTCCCTATTTCTTTTCTCTGTGTCTGTCGCTCTATCCATGTCTTTCCCTTTCCTTAGGCTAAAGTGGATAATGAGATCCTTAATTACAAAGACCTAGCTGCTCTTCCCAAGATTAAAGCCATCTACGAGGTGCAGCGTCCTGACCTCATTTCCTATGAGCCCTATCACAGATATACATCGGACGAGACGCTGGAGAGATATAGCTATGGGGAGGTACAGCTTCTTAACAATTCCACCTGCGACTCAGAGTGCCAGTGGGCCCTGTGGTAGAAATAGAGTTTCATCTACTTCCTAAAATGCTGTGAATTTTGATGGAAATATTTCAGAGTCACAATATTTGAGGTCTCTCCCAACATATACGCACAAAAAAGGAAAAATCCAAATTGATTACTGCTGAGCAACCCTTTTGTAAAGAGGCTCAAAATGTTCAAATGGGACCTGATCTGGTGATCCTGGTTCCATATGTTGTTGTTGCAGCACAGATGGGAAAACTAGCAGAACACCTTCTGCACATAGACTTGTGTGTTTTTTGCAGAGGGATGAGGGATGGGGATCCAGTTGTTAGTAAATATGCTGTGCAAATGGTACAAAATGAGAGAAGGAGAAAGAGGAGGACCCCTGAAAAAACCACTCCTCTTTGTCTAGCATGCCCAAAGCTCTCTTCAGCTGGGTCTTGACACGTCCAAATGTTCCTGAGGAGCAGAAGAAGATGGGCCTCACATTAGCTCTGAAACAGAAAATGAACCACCTCTCCTATGCATGTGCCTGATGTGTTCAATTATCTGGATGAAATGAAGCCCTTTAGCTAAATCATGTTGTCCTACATTTCATTCTGAGAAGCAGCCTTTGTTTTAGGTTGCTGGGGAGTGAGGGGGAAAGAATAGGGCTGAGCTGGCCCAGCCTGGACTTACGAGTTCTGCTGAACAAGTGGGTGGTTAGTGAAATGGCAGTGAGAACAGAGAAGGGTGTTTCGACCCCGAGGAAGCCAGATCTTAGCCATCTAAAGCATCCAACATTCAATTGTCTGTCACATCCTGAAGATAGCACATGAGCCCTATCAGATAGCAAAATTTCATGGGCATAAGACACTGGGACACAGGCAGCATTTAGTCCCCAACTCTGTCTCTGCATGGACCATCTGACAGTGCACCCCTTGCATGACACACCCAAGAACAGGCCATATGGTATATACATCATATCATTCCATATGAATTGCAGTTCAAGGCAGCAATAAAGATGAGTCTTGTGGCACCTTAAAGATTCAAACCATATTGTGGTTCAAGCTTTTATGGACTGGAATCCACAAAATAATGCATTTGCATGTCTTGAGTGGAATAGCCTTCCCTAACCTGGTACCCTTCAGACATACAGAACTACAAGTCATCTGGAAGCAGTAGTCCAACACACCAGGAAGGTGGAAGGAAGGCTGCTTTAAAAGATGACTGGATGCTTTTGCTGCAACAGACCAACACAGCTAGGAACATGAGGAGCTGCCTTATTCTGCATCATCACAGCTCCATCTAGCCCAGTACTGTCAACACTGACTTGCCGATGTGGCTCTGCAGAGTTTCCAGTAAGATTCTCCTCTGTGTAACTTAGAGATCCTGGGGACTGAACTGGGGACATTGTTCATGCAAGGCAGGTGCTGTACCACTGAGTTGTGGTAGCCTCTTTCCAGAGCTGCATCTCTGAAAATGGTTACAGTGGAGCTCTCAAAACACAGATCCTACCTATCAATAGCCTCCTTATTCGCCTCCAGAGTAGGACACGAAGATGCTAGGCCAGTGCTTCATGGGAAACATCCACTGAAATCAGGTGCTGTTCCTTCTCTGTCATAGATCTAATAGGAGACAGGAATCATAGAGATCATCATGGATCAGTGACATCTCCACTGGCTCTCCATGTGACATCCTTCCAGCTTCAGAATGAAGCCAGGCCACAATCTTCAGGCTTGTGCCTTGGACTTTCACAATGTCTACTAGGAAGATAAGGTGTTTCTTGCTGCAGGAAAGCTGAGATGCTGTGGCACTGAGGGGTGGGAGGTTACTGGTCACAAAGTAGATAAGCTTCTTGTACCTTGCATGGTTGTGGAGAGCAGGAGCATTTAGAAAAGTATGCTTTGTCATCAAGAGACAAGAAATACTGGTCCTGGTGAAACTCTGCCTTCTACAAAATGTCCAGAAAAACAATTCCAAGTCTTCTCCTTCCTTGAAAGAGGGCGTGGGTAGCAGTCAGCAAAGGGAGCAAAGGCTTTCTTCTCAGATATGGTGAGCAAAGATAGCCTTGCTTTGGTTTCTTTTCCTGGAATGCTTCTTATTCTCTTTTTCTCCCTTTGTTCATGTAACTCCTACACTGTAGCGCACAAAGATGTTGCATTTGTGCTTGTAGTTTGACTGAAGTCCGATATGTCTGGCTTGCACCAAGCTGCTCTGTGATGGGTCTGATCCTGTATTGACTGCTCTACTAGCAGGTCAGGAGGGCTGTTTTAATGCAGCTAGAAGCCCCCAGAAATGGGCTTCCTGCAAAGACATTGGATTTTCCATGGTACTTGACATATCTCTCCGTTCCTGGTAGAAATATGTGCCAAAGGTGCCTTTTCTTTTTTGTGGAGGAGATGCAGAAGCAGTAGGCTGGACTGGGGCCAGGCTGTTTATTGATGAGCAGGGCAGTCAGTCATGGGTAGATTTAAGCGGAAAAGAAGTAGTGGCTTCTGTTTGTGGGTCTTTTCCTCCTCACAATATAGAAGAGGAACATATTAGCTTTGCCACATTTTGGAGACTCTCTCCCAGGTTTCTTCAGTTCCCTGACAACTCTAATAAGGTTGCAGTTTTGCTAAGTGGACAGTAACTTGGGGGAAGATAAACTGCATTGTGTCAGCTTGTAATCATTTCTCCTCTCTTTCTTTCCTCACTCTTCACTCCCTCGTGGCTTGTCTCTGGCCTCCTGTCACTTCTAGTCTCTTGGAACATTGTCTCCATATTCTCAGGTAATCATATAGCAGGCCAGGCTGGTCTTCACAGTCCCAGGTGATTGCATAGAAGGCCAGGCCAATAGCTGGGCTCCCCCAACCAGGGCTTGTAGGGTTAACGCCGACGAAGCATTTGTGAGACCGGCACCAGGAAGGCTCAGTTCTCAGAGGACTGAACTGTGTGGCTACTAAGCCTGGGGGGTCACTCTGCACAGGACAGAAGTTACCTCAGTGGGTATTAGATTAGGAGCACTCATGCTAAAGTCAGTTATTTTTATGATATCTCGCACACACCCATGCACACGCACACCCTGAAGAAAAAGTGACAACCCCGAATGAAACAAAAAGCAGAGGGCTAGGATTTGCAAGCACCCACCAAGTTTACACACACGCACAGACACACCATCTTTCCACCAAATACTAGAGCTCTGGATGGTGAACAATCAAATCCAGACTCAAAGCAAAACCTTGATTACAACAAACATTAAAACAAATAAATTAAGAATTGAGTAATAAAAGAAATAAAAAGTACCAACCTATGAAAAGCCCCTTCAGTGACAGACCAGCTTATATGGCAAAGGCCCCTGAATAAAATGCCTAAAGAGTACATTTTTATTGCCAGTGCTTTTACTTTTCCAGGACATTTACGAAAGCATGGACATCAGGCAGAGGCGAGCCTCCAGCCCAGGCTACATTGACTCCCCCACCTACAGCCGCCAAGGCATGTCTCCCACTATCCCGCGCTCTCCGCATCATTATTACCGCTCAGGTAAGGGCGTGGCTCCGGATTCAGCTGAGCACACCTGCCAGACAGGCACCAGCACTGAGGCATCATCACCATCACCATCAGGATACGCACACATCTCTCTGAGGAGCGTGCAGGGCCAGGACAGCTTTCCATGTTCCCAGAAGAGCTTGTCCTGCAATGCCCCACTTCTAAGGGAAGAAGAAAGGAAGGGGGGAAATGACGAGCCCATGGCAGTTGCATGGGATCTCTTCTTCACAAAAATAGTAGACAAGTGACCAGGTACACTGTGGTCTGTCCTCAAAACAGAGAAGAATTTATTACTGGGATTTCACTCCTCTCTGCAAGCACCATCTTCCATTTTCTGTGACAAGTTTGAAAGGATGATTCCAGGCCTGAGCTGAAATGGAAAGGAGTGGATGATGAGGGAAGCAGTGGATGCCACAGGCTTTATATACACACAGCACTGGGTGTCTTTCTTTCTTTCTTTCTTTCTTTCTTTCTTTCTTTCTTTCTTTCTTTCTTTCTTTCTTGTTGCGCTAGGAAGATGGCACAGCAAGGGGGAAAAACCCACCGGTAAAAGCATGTCCTGCAGAACTGTCTAATTAGCTTGAGTCTGTGTAATATATTTTCCCATCAGAACCTTGCCGTCTGCCAAAAGGAAGTCCTTGGTACAGTCCTTGCCGGACAGACATGGTGCCAACTAGTGCTGCTGCTGGGTAAATCCTGACGGGGCGTTTCTGGCGGTCCTGGACCAGGTTTAGCTCAGGACTGCCAGTAACGACAGGCACCTGCGGAACTGCCCTCCAGCTCCCATTCGCCTGCGAACCCGAACTCCTCCCTCACCACGGTGTGCACACGTCACCACCACCGCCACCACTGCTTTCCCCATCCATGCACCCCCCCCCACTGATTCACAGGTGGCTTGCTATTCTTCTAATATGGCTGCTTTTAACACCGATTTTCCTCTGCCTCTCTCTTTCTTCCTCCGCTGCTCCCTCCAATCCGCTCTTTCAAGGCACAGAGAGCGGTCACAGCTCCCCCTACTATAGCCAGTTAGATGTGAGGTCTTCTACACCAACCTCATACCAGGCTCCTAAGCATTTCCACATTCCAGGTAGGCTCTGGAGGCCTCTGGCCAGCCGGTGAAGAAGCGCTGTTGTCTTCTTTGACTGTTAGTTTTTGGGCATGCATGCATGCATGTGCCAAATGTGTATCTTGCATGAGTAGAGCTATTGCCAGCTAGCAACAACAAAGTACATCTGCATGAGAGAGGCCATCCATAAACAAGACCTGCATCCTTAACCCTGCCTCTGCAAAGGCTGGTCGTCGTAGTCCCCCCCTCCCCCGTCCCCCGCCTGGCCACTTCTCTTTTTCTCTTTCCTATGCAAAGGAAAGGTTCTCCCGCCTCTCCCCTTCCTGTCTCTTCCCTCCAGGTCCACAGGGCAAAGCTTGTCCCTCAGCTAGGAGCACCTGTGCACCATCTTTGACAGATAATTCATCTTATGCTCCTCCTGCTCCCCTCAGGGCCCGCTGCACCCTTCCCTCAGATTTCTCTGGGCTTGCCAGATGGCTGCTCCCCTCCAGCAGAGACTCCGGGGGCCACCAGGTAAGGGCCACTGCCCTATCCCTCCTGCAGAGAGGGGGAGGGGGGAGTCGACACCTGTCCCTGGCCGGGATGCAAGTATGTCTTGTATGCCCTGCTGCCCCCGTGCAGTCTGAAACTAGCTGGATTCACATCAGGTAAATCTGGAGTCATTTGTGCACTTAAAGTACACGAGGTCCACACCTACCCAAATGTGGGCCTGCACACCCTGGGAGTCCAGAGCTAGGGCAAGTCGAGTCTGGGCTTCTTCCCAGGCCTTTTTACCTGCAACGTCATGCATGAAATGAGCCTCAAACAATTGCAAGATTCTGATGTCAGTCATCCATGCAAACCAGAAAAAGAAGCCCAGGTTCCTTAGGGGCATGTATGGCTCATGTTGTCAGGCATCAGACTCTTACAGACACACACACAACACACACACACAGAGTTTGATTTTTCTTCCCTTGGTGCTCTGATTATCACACTTCAGAATGTACCTCTCATTTGGTCCTTCAGTGGTCCAAATGAGCATCCCTGAATTAGGCAGCTCCAGGTTCTGCTGGAGGCTCACGACCTCCAGGGCAGGGCAGTCAGGTGAAGTGGACCTGGAGTGCTGTTCTGCTGCCTGTTTAATCCATCCACGGCTGGAGGCATTTCTGGCCCATCTGCAGGAAAGACTGCTCTCTTCCACCCCTCTCTAGAGACTTCCCCATGGCATTGCGCTGCAGGGAACGGCACTCAGACGACTAGTCACTCCCGTAGCCTTTGTTGACGTCTTTTATGGATGGCCCTTTGCCTGCCCCACCAGTGATCGGCCCATCAGTGAGCCTTTGTGCTGGTAGGATAGCTCCCGTTCCCAGCTTGCTTTGCTGCTCTTTCTCTCATCTGAAGAGGCTTTGGCTGACTTGTGAACTCTTGGGCAGGGATGGGGTGGGGTTACTGTCCCTGTATCTTGGAGGCAGCTTCCCCCACCCTGGTGCCCTCCACATGTGTTGATCTTCAGGGGGTGATGACCGCTGCACTCCGGGGCATCTAGAGGGCACCAAGTTGAGGAAGGCTGCTCTGAGGATCCAACTCATCCATTATCTGGTGCCACTGACAGACAAGGGGAAGATGGCCTTGAGATCTTCTCCTCTCCTGGACTGAGGCAAGCTGCTGACTGGGCCGGAAGGAGAAATGTCTGCTTGACCCTGCATGCTGTTTAATGGTGAGCATGCTCACAGCATGGCCTCTTGTGCATGCACACATGGTCTGAGTATGGCTCTCTAGGGCACACATCACTCCAAAGAGAATTGATTCTTTCTTCTCCCATCAAATTAGCTCACAACCTCTCTCTCTTCAGTAGATCCTTAGCATAAGGCTGTCATGTTTTATACCACACCACTCTGGAAAAGTGGGCGGGGTAGGGAGACAGAATGGAATTAGTAGGTAATCTGATTATGGGTGGGCACACTTACCTGCAAATCCTGTGGCTCCTGCAACTCTTACCGTCTTCCTTACTAGCTCCTGCGCCCCTTTCCTGTCTCCTTCTTTCCTTCACTCTCTTTCTTTTTGCCTCCAGCTGCTGCAGAGAGTAACATCTACCGGAAACCTCCCATCTATAAAAGACACGGTACAGTTTGGTCATGGCTTTGGCACATATTTGGATGATAATAACCCAGTCCAGTTCTGCTTAGCTAACATGATGTGCTTTGAATGTGGAGTTGCTTTCCCATGAGCTTTGCAAAAGCTATTCAGAGGTGCCAGAACAGGACCTGATATCCCTGGAAAGGAGGGAATTGGCTTCCAAGGGCACTGTAGGAAAGTCTGGATAGCTGAATCTATCATCATGGCTCATCCTCGGGGAATGACCTTCATGCTTTGATCTCAGGTGCATCCATATGTCAAGAACAAAGCCTATTTGTGCCGCATCAGTGATATTGGCTATGTAGGCTATTTAGCTGACTATTCTTACTTTCTTTCCAACTTGAGACTAGAGGGCATGAGTTGGAACAGGGCCAAATCTACGCATTAAAGTGTTCTTCTGGTTGTTGTGGTTGTGGTTGTTGTCTAGGTACATGGAACTTTACGGAATATGAGAGAACAGGTCCTATCCCAAAATATTTCAATGCAAACTTTGACACTGGGAAAGCAAGAGAGGAGCAGATGGAACAGAGGCAGAAGTGAAAAAGGGAAGACTATGAGATTGTTGCCAATCCACATACTGTGTAGGGTTGTGCCAGTGGCTGTATAGAAAAAGTGCTTTCTGGGGAAGGATCTGAAGAAAATAAGACAAGTGCCATCAAGCAAGGGTTGTGGGAGATAGCTCTGAGTATAAGAGGTAGAAAGGGCACAGTTGGTAGAGGAAGGAAAGAGAAACCTTTATAGCTTTTCTGCCTGAGGATTTTAATCTGTCACTTTACCAGTTTCTCTTCTGGTTCTTTGTGGGGTTAAGATCAGGTCCTTTACACATATTTTTCCAGGGTTTTTCTTTCTTTACTTTCCTACTTGTTCCATTACACAACCCCTATGTGGTGCTGTGCTGCAGCAGAATTACACAAACACACAAGCTGTCTCATGCTACCTTTCACAGATAATATCAGACTTTCCTGGTTAGGAAAAAAAAGTCCTCTTAGATGGTTGCAAAGCACGGGAGAGGTCCTGAAGGATGACAGTGTCGTGTAAAGCTGCCACAAACTATCATGAGTGAGGAGCTGTGTGTACAGTCAACATCTTGCAGAAAAGCTGTTAGACAGCTGAGGGTGCTGCATCTGGATGAGTGAAGGCTGCAGGCAGGCATGAATCAGGTTATAACAGCAGAGATGTGGTGATGGAAGGCTTTAAACATAATGACAAGGAGCTTGTACCAGATCCAGAAATGCCCAGGAAACCAGTGCAGGGGTGTAAGAAGGGGCCTCACCTGGTCAGAACAATGAGAGGACTGAATGGTATTGGCAGCAGAGTGCTGAGTGTACACGAGGGCACTGAGGAGAGACTATGGAAGGCCAGAGAGGTGGCAATTGTAGCAGTCCAGGTGAGAGACAAACAGTTTTGGCAAGGAAATAAAGAAGAAGAGGCAGCGCAAAGGGAGAAGCAATAGGACTTGGCAGTAGGCTAAAGATGGGGGCAAAGGAGAGAGAGGAGAGTCTCAATAACACAAGGCTTCAAGTTTGTTCAACAAGACAGGTGCTGCTGCTGTCAGCGGGCACTTAAGGCATGTGAGCAGAGGAGAGTGTTGAAGGAAAAGAGAGAGAAGTTTGGTCGTACCTGGGTTGATGATGAAGCTCCCAGGCAGACATATCAGAAAAGCACTTGGAGATGCACGACTGGATGTTATACCAGAGCCATGGAAGGTGCTTTTTTGTCCATTCATTTTATGGGGCAAACGCGTTTAAAAGTTCTGCCCCCATGCAGGCCTTTGATTTCAACACCATGGGATGAATGCTCAGCAAAGTGGCTTCTGTAGCCCTGCAGGGATGTGTGATGGGTCCTCCTGGCTCCTAAGGACCCAGGGAAGTAAAAGCCAAGGCAAAGGATAGTCCACATGGCGGAAAACTCCTCTGCATTGTCACACAAAGGGGGATCAATTTAGATTGTTACTGGGGGGGGAGGTGTTGCAAACAAGCTAAATATGCCTCTCTTAGTGCTCTGCTGCCACTTCTGGCTCTCTGGCCAGTTTTTGTCCTCTCCTGCACTGACCCTCCCGCAGTGACCCTTGTCATATGAAAGGAAAAGAGATTCGGTGTGTATCCCCCAGTCAGATCAGGATGTGTAAAGAAGGGCCATGCACATGTACAGCCTCAGAGAGGTTAAGGCAAGTTTGAGAGTCGTCATTCCAGAGAAATGAACGAAGCTTAATCAATGTGCTCTGTGCTCAGGAAAGGATAGAGGAAATAAATAAGAATTTTGTCTAGGGTAGCCTCTTACACATTGCCAAAAAAAAGAGGAATTGCATAACCAGGAAGACAAAATAGGAAACTGATTTGCATAACATCTGTATATAAAATGCATAAGCATCAGACCAAGTTTAGAAATTATGGCTATAATTAAATAGAAATACATTACATGTGACCACGTTGAAAGAGACTGACCAGGTGGCCTGTGTGCCTTCTCCGTCTGTTGCTCTCAAGATGCAGCCTCAAGTTTCCTGTTCTCCCTCCCTTCTGATGTTTCTTTGAATTTAAATTTGATGGGTCTGGGCAGCCCATCAAATAGAGGACTCCTTAGAAGAGAGGACTCTCAGGATGCCTAAAGGTTCACTTGGTCACTATTGAATATCAACTTGTGACATCATTGCCTATAACCTAACTCACCATCTAGTGGGTTCTAATAGTTCAAAGAAGCCAGATGTACAGTGGATCTGAACTTAGGATGCAGAAAGAGGTACTTCAGGAGGGACAGGGCTTGGCTTGCTTCAAGGCAGGATGTTCTGCTCTGCTGTGACAAGGGAAATTACAGAAACAATTTCTCTGTAGGCCTTCAGAGGCAAAGCTCTGAGGTCCGAGAAGAAGGCAGAATGCCCTCTGTTAGGCAGATCCTGCAGTGAGAAAGAGAAGGGTGGACTTGTTCTGTGCTCACCAATCTGCTTTTTGCTCTTGTGCATTTCTGCCTTAATATAGTAACCAGGTGTCTCCTCCTTTCTTTCCTTCCCCTTCCCTATTCCGCTGTCTGCCTAACACCCTGCCCTGCTGACTGCCTCCACCCCCACCGCATTGTAAGTAGCTACCTTTGCCTCTCCTTGTAGGAGCGATCTCCTCCTCCTCGTGCATGTTTCTGAGAACTTCACAGACTTCCCTCACAAGCCCTGGAGGTTTTAAAACTAACATCTCTGCCCTTTTTGTTGGGATGTCAAATAACTTCCCCAGAAGATTTTTTTAAAAGGATCTATGATCACACAGTGCAGATGACTTATTTCTCCATGTCCTATAAAGATTCCCTTGGACACACAACCTATGGTTTTGCCCATTGCTTAAAGGCATGTTTAAGGGCAATCATACAAAACAAAAATCACTAAAATCAGAGATTTTATTCTTTAATCCACTATATGCCCTCTTGAGAATATTGAACCAAGGATAAGAGCTGTTTTGAGTTCAATAAACAGCCATTAAGATGTGCAGAGGGAGTTGGATAATCTAGTCTTCATTAGGAATGGTAAGTCCAGAAGGAAGTCTTGACTGGTTGTCTGCTATAATTAATTCAGAGCTGTTTTAAAGAGTAGTATGCTGCATATGTGCCCATCAGGTCCACTGTTATTTGCTGTTAAAGGTTTACTACAAGCAGCACTTTTGGGAGCAAATAGCAGCCAGCTGGAAAGGGTCAAAATTTTGGCAGGAAACAGACATAGGGCCCAGTTGAAATGGGTGCATATTCCAATTCAGAGCCACACAACTACTTTTATTTAAAAGTGTCCGGTTTAATCCCACTTTTATTAAAGGATATTTATCCTAATGTGTAAGTTCAGCCCATATACCAGCTTTCTCTCAAGCAATAGTATCTGTTTCTGGAATGGGAATGGACATAACATCTGTTTTTATCCCTTCACCAACAGCGGCCATGGTGCTAAACTTGGGACCATGCCATGGGGATGCAGTCGGATCCTCCCACCAAGCTGTGGTCCTGTGAAAAATTCTCTCCCTTGTGTTACTGTTAGGGCCCAGGAGGGAAGCTGTAATCGGCACTAAGAGAAGCCCCATGGTTGCTGATGTTAAAGGAAAACAATAGGGACGTTTATTTATTAGATTTATATTCCACCTGTTTCTTTTTTAATAAATTCAAAGCAGCTTACATCATTGTCCTCCTGCTGCTCTCAATCTTAGCCCCACAATAAGCATTCATGCATTAAAACCATGGCCGTTTTGGCCTTGGACACACTTTCTGAGGAATGGAAATAGGACCTAGGGAGGATTATATTTAAGGGTGCATTCCTATGCATGTTATGTGAAATCTTGCATAAGATTGTACCCTAAATTGCTATGTAATCTGGTTGTTTTGTGCAAATAAACGCCCCTTGCCAACCAATGGTCAAATGTGACTCCCTGTCAGTGTTATTTCTTTTCCTTCTCTCCTAGAAGCCCAACTATACGATACACTATTGCATCAATTTATAATAGTGGACTGGTGTTTGGCATGGGATCAACACTAAACTCCCAATCTCACACGCACACTCCTGGTCTCACTCAGGACTGGTTGCCCTGCACCTTCCATGTGCACTGGAAGAGACACTTCCACTGAAGGCTTCCACTGACACATCCAGTGCAAACCGCAGGGGATTCAGTCCGGACTGGGACTGCAGCACCAAGCAAAGAGTTAAGCGCATAGCTGGTTCTAAATCTAGATCTGGCCTTCTGCACTGGCTTTTTGGAAGGCCACTCAGATAATGGCTAATTGCATGGATGGCGTCTTGCCTAGTTTGGCTTTAGGGCTGAGCGATCGCGGGCTGCAGGATCTGCGCTGTGCTCTTTCAATAAGCCCTGCCAGGCAGGCTGCTCATGATTTCAGGGGTGCTCACCCTCCTCCCATTGCCTGGCCTCATTCCCCTCTGCTGCTCTGCTTCCCACAACCCTCCCCGGCTACCTGCAAGTGCTGTGCCCCTTATGTACCCCGTGCTGCGGGCTCTCTGATTTCTTTTTGATATAAAGAACTGAAACAGAAGTTTCTACCGAACGTTAGGCCTACTCAGAGCGGATCCATTGAACTGAATGGGACTGAAGTCAGACTAACCCTGGAGGAGGCTGCCTCCCCAGAGCCTCTGGTCCACCTGGCCCTTGACAGCGGCTCTTTGTGGCTTCCAACCAGAGTCCTTCCCAGGCCTACGTGGAGATGCTGGGGATTGAAACTAGCGCCTCCTGCATGCCAAGCAGTGGCCACACCACTGAGCTGCAACCCTTCCTGCGCTCAGAGAAGGAGCAGAGCTGTGTGGGACAGCTGGATCTGCCCTCCCAGCTTGGAGGCTCCTGCTGCAAGAGCAACTCCACTTCCAGCTGAATCTTGCCCGGGCAGATCCCAGATGGAGTGACGGCGCCAGTGTGTGATCCCAGCTTGCCATCTGCCTGTTCGCTGGGGCTTGGGCTGGTGCGGGGAGCCCATGCACCTCCATCTTGCTTTGCCTCAGAGCGGCTATGCCCCCTGCCGCTCTGATAAGGATTGGTTGGGGGAAAGTAGACAGCAGCAGGCCCATTGGTTTAAACCTGGATCTGTTCTGATTGCGCATAAAGCTAGAAGGGTTTTTACTGCTGGCAGGGAGGGCTAAAATTTTCTCCTGCCTGCAGCTTTCCAACCCGAAGCCTCACTTTTAGTGCCCCCTTTGCCTCTTCCACCACTGGAATGCAGCTCTCAGGGAATCCCCTTCCTCCCCAGACTCTGATATTACAAGGTAAGCTCTGGGTACAGGAGGGTTCCCTATCCCTTGTGACCTGTTTGTGTTAAAAACTGGACCCTCCAGCCTCCTACTTGGGGTATTCCAAATGCACGAAAACAGATCTGCTGCCTCTTCTGTTGTTTTGAGCTGCAGCCTTTAGGAGAGCTTGTTTTTTCCTTTCTGACTCTTCTTTCTCTTTTGTTTTTCCAGATGCCCAATCTGCAGCTACTAAAAGCAAAACCAGTGAGGATATAGCACACACCTCCAAATACAGCCCAGCCTATTCTCCAGACCCATATTACCACTCAGAGACAGAGTACTGGACTTTTCAAGGGTCACCTAAAGGTAATGCTCTTCACCTGAGGACACTAAAACCTCTATAGTAGGAGTGTTGAACCTCTGGCTCATGGGCCACTTCTGGCCTCCAAGAGTCCCCCTGGCCACATCCCCTTTCCCTTGACCACTGATTGGTAGCTTTCTAGGTTTTGTGCATTTTCCCCTTTCTGAAAGACCAAACTGCTTTTTGTTTTTTGCTTTTTGTAAAAACTCAGTCTTAGTTACTGTCCAACAGAGCCTATTTAGTTAAAGCTAAAATACGCTGCTATTTTAAATATTTGTCTCTGTCCCTTTTGCTTTTACCTCTCCCACCACTGGAATGCACCTCTCAGGAATGTCTCTAAAACTGATTTTGGCTCTTACGGTGAAAGAGGTTCAAAACCGTGGGGGATTCTATAGCCTGGGGTGCTTGCTAGCACCACCGTTCGGAAGGCACTGTGTTGCGATCCTGTCCGTCCCCCCCCCCCGCCGCCGCCGCCTCCTTAAATGATTTTCTTTAGTAAGAAAAAGAGTGGAATAAGCACTGGTAAAGCATGGGTTGGCTATGAGAGGAAGCTGGCCTCACCCAGATGTATAAAATTCCATAAATGTGGAGGATGACATGACAAAGCCTCATCTGGAAGCATCCATAGTCCAACACGACATGCTGAAGGCCTCTCGCATGGGCCGGGGGCAACTGGGGAGGAGTATGCTGAAGGACTGCAGAGAAGGACCAGGTCCCACAGCCTAGAATCTTACCTAAAAATAAAGGCTGAACCCACTGAATTTCCCTCTTCTGCATGGTTCCTGAAGATGCAGGCGTTCGATCCTATTTTGCAGCTGCTCCTTTGTCATCCTTCCTTGCTGGTTGCCTGAAATGCATCTCAGACTTTGATGTCCCAACCGTAAGACTTTGAACGCAATAAGCTGTTGCCAGTCATGAGCTCATACCGAAAGAAGCCTCAGAGTGTTTGTATGACAAAAATCCATGCCCGGGCTTGGTCCCACCCCACAAAAAACCTCTCTGGGCTTCTCTACAGGCTTTGGTGCATGAGGCTTTTGTTGTGTGCTCGTGATTCTTCACTCATGGAAGTTTGCAGGGCCTTTTGATAATGTTATTGTTCTCCAGGGCCTCTCCCAGCCACTTTTCAAAGCCTAGTGTATAGTCGCAAAGCCATTGTGCTATAACTATTACTACAGTGCCACATTGCGCTTGGCTGATATAATAGGCACAAAGGCAGACAAATACAAACCCCAGGGGAAATGCCTTGTATAAATGATGTGCTTTTCCTCCCAGAATGAAAATGGAAGAAACAGCCTTGGCAAATCGGTACCTTAAATCCCTCGTGTACATAAGCTGAACATGAGTCGTTTAAGCAAATGCTCTACAGAGGCTTCTTCTGTTTTCATTGCAGGCAGAAGAACCCCCACCCCACCCCCCAGGGGTTTTCCTCTCTGTATATGTTCCTTTGTGTTCCATTGCACAACATATGGTGGCACTGTGGTAGAAAGCAGGATTTAGACTTTACATGAGGCTTCTGTAGCAAATATTAGTGGCAGCCAGGAAAATGCAACATTATCTTCATGCTAAAAATGCTCCAAAAATGTCTGGAAAACATGGGAGATGCCCTGGATGGAAGACAGTGTTGGTAAAGGATTCACAAACGTCTGCGAGTGAAGTGCCATGAGCAGAAAGGAAATGCCCTGCATAGAAAAGCCCCTTGACTGCAATGCACAGCCTCTGGCCTGCGGACCTGATCCTATGCTGGCCTGTAGGGTCCCTTTGGCTTTCTCCGGGGTAGGGCTTGGCCTCCAAGCCCAGTCCCTGGAAGAATCATTCCCTGAATCCCTACCGTTATTCCTAATCTCCAGATTAGCAAAAACAAGGGAATGTGGGCAAGTGGGGGAAGGGGAACTCAGGAGTTGGGGCTGGTTGGACTCAGCTCCATTTTGGCAACAGGTGTCTTAATCTGATGCCCTGCAGGCCCTTCTCTGACTGTCCCTCCCTCCCTTTTCTTCTAGCACCACGTGTTCGGAGGTTTTCATCAGGGGGAGAAGAAGATGGGTTTGACCGAGGAATGCATAAAGTGAGTGCTCTTCTCTACGATTCACCTTAGTTTGATATTACCTGAACTTGGAGGTGCTGTTTCAAAGGTTCCTTCCCCCTTGTGGTACTGTTCTTTCAGCATGTTACCTCTGCCACTATTCTTACAAAAGGAGTCAGCGCCCTGGGGACTTTGATTGTGTTCTGTGTGTATCTTCCGATAACACTCCCATCCAGTGCGAGGGGGTACTTCAACCTTCCCAACTTGGTGCTGGCACCCTCCAGATGCATTGGGCAACAGCCTCCATCATCCCTGACCCACAGGGGCAGGTTGGGGAAGACGGGACTTGTATTCCACTGCATCGGAGGGTTTCAGATTGAGAAAGACTATAATGGACCATTATCAATGACCCATGGAGAAAATATGCTTTATATTTCCCATGGGCAGACTACAACTTTTCCTATGCTTTACTGCACTTTTAACCTATTATGCTATGTTATCCTTATTAGCCTTGGACATGCTGCTTTGAAAAGGAGTCAAATTATTTAAGCACACATATGCACACTAGCCTCATTGCTCCTGAAATCATGCCAGAAAAAGCTGAGTTGTGAGAAAATGAGCGCGCTTGCATCCATACATATCCTCTTCCTTATCTGCTTGTGGTGTCATAGATCCAGACTGGCATCGGCAGGTTGATACTGAAGGAAGAAATGAAGGCACGATCCAATTCCTATGCTGACCCCTGGACACCACCCCGCAGCTCAGCTGGCAGCCGAGAAGCTCTTCATACAGCTGGCTACGAAGGCTCCTTGAATGGTTGTAAGCAATCCCAAACGTTTCCCTACCCCCTGCCTGCCGGCAGAGGGCTGGCTTCTAGGAATGCACAGAGCAGAAGTGTGACTTTTTCATTTGCTACTGCAGAAGTTGTTGCTGTGTGAGAGGAATGAGCACTTAACGGCTGGCATTGCAGACAGTGCAGGCCAGTCCCAGGACAGTATAAATTCAGATCAGCTAACTACCAGCCTGCAGCATTAAAAGGGGCTCTCAGCTACAACCAGAACCATTCGAGTTCGTCCGGTACTCTGATTTGAGCTTGAGCAGATTTTCTGCAGATGCATTGGTGCCCGCACAATTCCTTTTTCTTGATGTATCATTCATGGTCAGGGATCGTGAGACCAAGGGGAACAGAAGTGCAGGGAAACAGAGATTAACAACAGCCATGCAGGCTTTTATGCGAAGTGACCATCTCCTTCAGAACTACCTTCGGCAATGTGCTCCAGCCGTTGGATCACATCCTTGTTTCTGGGTGTTATGCTGCTCCCCTTTGCCCTGTCAAATCACTCCCCCACTTTTACAGGTCAGGGAAGAAAGAGTCGGGGTATTTGGTAAGGCTTGAGAATTGGCTAAGGCAGGAGAGCACTGAAGGTTTTTTTAATTTATTTATTACCTTTTAATACCTTCCAATAGCCAAAGCAGTTTGGGATCTACCAGTAGTTTACTAGCAGACCAACATGGATTTCTGTTTCCCAGTTGTTCAACAACAACAGCAACAGTCATTTTTCCTCCACTATATTAGCCTCTGTGGGTATTTCAAAATGAGGCCTTTATCCTGCAATTGCCCTGCTTCGTACATGGAATTTTATGGGGGATCAGATGAGGTCTTCCCTTTGTAACCCTCCTGTGTTTTAAGGCTTCTCCTGTCTTCCTCCTTGCTGCAGAAAGGGAGGGGAATGCCTTCAGAATGGTAGTGTGAGGACCCTGAGCACCTTTACAATTCCTGCTCCCCAAGGAAACTCATACATAAATTGGGGCTTGTATATGCTGAGCTCACGGCTCTCTTCCTGAGTCACCATTTTTTATCTAGCTCCTCAGTCCACCTTGAGCCGTTCCTTTGCATCTACTCTGGTTAGTGAATTTTGTGGTCACAATGCCCTTGTCTGTGCCAAGAAGGGATGTACAGATTTAGTTTAATCTGTTCTGTGTGTACTTTGTGGAGTGTCAGGTTTCTTTTGTTCTGTCATCTGCTTATTGACAAATTGGTTTCCATGCTCTCTCTCTCTGTCTCTTTCTCACACACATGCACACACACTTCAGAAAAGCATGCTGAAATGTCTGCCACAATTTATGTAATTTTTTCTGGTAGGCAACAGTTTGAGTTTTATCTTTCCTTGGTGCTATGAAGGTTCAAGCGAAATCCTAAATATAGAAAATGTGGGATTTTAAAAAATGTATATTTTCCACTATCTTTCCTGCAACTAAATGTCAGTACAATTTTGAAAAGTTAAAAAGATGATTCACAAGCCTGAGGACTATATGGAAGTTGGAAGATGCCATTCTGCCATGGAATCCATGGGTTGAATTAATAGAAATCCAAAGTTATCTGAATCCACTTCAGATGGGTTTTTTTGGAATCTGTAGGGCCAAGGGACATCAACAGAGTGCCTTTAGCTATATTCCTCCAACTGGTAGATGAGCATGTCTCTGGAAAGATCCTTTTTCATTTCCCCAATTGCTGTGTGCCCGGTAACTTGTACCAAGCAAGGTGTTTGTGCATTTACAGATCTGTGGCTTTTCAGGGAGGCCGGAGACTCTTCAGTGTGCTGCCACCTAGTGCTTGAACTCATACATAACTTGGACAATGAAATAATGCTTATAAGAATCCTGTATTCCAAGATACCCTCATTTATTTGACTGTTTGCAGAAGCCACTATTCATGGTTGTGTGTGTGTGTGTGTGTGTCCACTCATTTATCCGTATAAGTTCCAGGCTGAACATGTACACCTGCTCGCACACGTACACACTCACGCGATCACATTCCCGGGGGCTCCCTGCCGGCCAGAGCCTGAAGGAGTTTTTCGTTAATCTTTGATGAGCCACTACATTATGCCCGCCTTTATCCCCGCCGCCCTCGTGCGAAGGGACTGGGGAGTGTGGGTGAGGGGCACGTGGAAGGAGGTGCACTCCCGCGTTTGCTCCGTTTAGCCACGGGATGGGAATGTTGAAAGCTGAGCCATCCGTGCCTTGCTCAGTTTGGATTCTTTTAACACGCCAGAGGTCCAGGCTCAAACTAGGCCTGGCACAGGAACATCTGTGCTTGAGTGGAGAAATAGGGTGGGGTAGGAGTGGGGAGCTCTTGCCTCTTTTTCTGCTCAAAAGCGGGTCCCGCACGCGTGTTTTTCTTCCCGTCAGAAAACGGTGTGGTGAGATGTTGAGCTGGAAAGCGTCTAGAGAAGGAAGCACTGAGCACCTGACACACACACACACACACACACACACACACACAGCATGTATCATGCTTGTGTACAACTACATGGGGGGAAGCTGACGTGGTCACACGAGGCCCGGACCCACACACCAGTCTGACAGGAAGCTGGACAAGGACATTATTGCCTCTCTCAAACCAGACCCTCCAAAGCCACCCAGATACAACTAAGTCCAGCGTCTCTGAGTGACCAAACTGCATATTATCCAACAGTGAAAGCCAAGCAATACCCGAAGAAGACCGGCAAGCATTCCCATGTTCTTTCCCCTGCACACCCATGTGGCTCTGTGTACTGCCGTCTTCACACCAGCCTTCCCCCACGAGTTGGTGTACTGTCTGCAGGCACAACTGTATGGGCTGGCATGTGTAAGCCAGCCGGTCTTCAGGCCTGCACCCCTGCGATAAAGCGTGTTCCAAGTGCACAACCCTCACTCTTTCTTTGTCTCCCCCAACAGCGCCTCGGACACATTACCTGGCTGATAGTGGTACGTACCTCCCCATCGCCTGCCTCTCTTGCTTTGCACTTTTCCTTATTTTAGGCAAAGCTGAGGCTCTGGACTTAACTAGACTCTGTGGGGCTAGAACAGCTGCCTCTTTGCAAGGCTGTAGAACCTCTGGTTGTAGGAAGAGAAGGAAGGATCCCTGGCTGCCTAATCTGTATCTCGCTCTCACGCTTCTAGAACATAGCTGTGTTCCTTAGGTGACACGGTGCGTCTTGTTAGGATGTCTGTAATGTTCAGGGGAAAGGAGAACTGATGTCAGACAGGGTAAGAAGGCCAGCCTTGGGAGGCAGACTGAGGTAGCATTAGATGGAGAAAATTGTCCATTATTCAGCTTATTACTTTTTTCCCACCACGGAGGGCACAATTTTAATTTTCTGATCAACTTCCTTTAGCACATTTCCAGTGCAATGCTTCCATCCTTCCTGGAGATGCACACGCCTTGAGCATCAGTGTTGTGTGGTGGTCAGAGTGCTGGCACAGGCCAGGTTCAAATCCCTGCTCGGGCAGAAAGCTCACAGGGCCACCCTAGGCCAGTCAGTATTTCTCAGCTTAAGACTGCCTCAGAGGGTTGTCGAGAGGATAAAATGGGAGAGAGAACCAGGCCTGAGCTTCTTGACAGAAGGGCAAGGTGAAAAATGTGACAAGTAGAAATTGCTACTGATATTAAGGGAATAAACTCTTCCTCTTCCTCCTCCCACTCACAGTGGATGTTCTACGGTGCCTGAGCACTTTTCCCACTGGAGCTTTTCATAGGGAAGTTAATTAGCCTCCCCAGGTTCCGATTTATGAAGTCTGCTCTCTCTTTTTCCCCCAGATCCCCTCATTTCTAAATCTGCCTCTCTTCCCGCTTACAGAAGGAATGGACTGCACCGGGTAAGAGTCTCTGCCACCAAGCGGTGGCCTTCCCGACTAGTCTCTCCACACCAGCAGGGGGCACCCTGCGCACACGCTTCTGCTGAATCCCTTGGGGAAAAAGAAGTCTGAGGGGGATATGGAGGATGTTCTTTCTCCAGGACTGCTACCACCTATGAGGAAACTGCTCTTTCCCTGGGTAACCCAACCCATGGGGCTTCTTATTTCTAGCAAGTGTTTATATTTCAGGGCATAAGGAAGACTGCCACAAGCTGGCCCTTTTCCACTGCCATCAGTTCTGTTAAGATACTTTAAAACTGCCTTGTGGCTGTAAAAGTGGTTTAGACAGGAGAGATGGGCACGACCATTAGAGGCAAAATGAGCTATCAAGCAAGCAAATTTATTAAGGGAAGGTTTTGCACATAATGGTTTATCTATACCTACTTTGCAGTTTTCAAAAGACTGCTCAGTAACAATTCTTAAAGGCTTCCTTGCTCCAAAAAGCCTCTTGTTGACTTAGAAACACAGAGTGAGTCAGAAGGGGCCTCCTGGGCCATCTAGTATGACCCCCAGCTCCAGCCAGCTCCACTCATGACATGCCTACCATGACTTCATTTATCTCAGGCCCCAAAGACACAGTCCTATGCAGGTTCAGATAGAAAAGCCTCCTACAACTTTTAACATGCACCAGCCGACCATTCTGGCTGGAACATGATGGGTGTCGAAGTTTTTTCTACCTAACATTCATAAGATTGCACCCTTTCCCTCCACCACAACCAAATACGCTTATGACCAGGTCCAGCTTCTGGGTACGCTGAAACTCCTCCTGTTGTATTCTGGTTGCTGGGACAACTTATCTGCCTGGTTGTTTTACCTTCTGACATGATCTTAGGGCAGCCCCCTGGCATGATGCAGCCACTTGCTCTCTGCTCCTGAGCTTCACCAGCCGTGCAAGGTTATCTCATGGAGAAAGAGTTGCTTACCATTGAGGCCTTAGCTATTCGTGTTCTCCCCTGTTTTCTCCTAGTCCTTCTAAGGAGAAAGGCACCGCACACCAGCCAGAAGACTTCCCCCATCTGACTCACTTAACTTTCCAGACATTTCTTCACAAAGTCCATTTATTATTTACTGGAAGTCCTCTAAGCTAGAACTTAGACACTTCAGGGCCAGGTTCAAACATGGGGAATGTGTCCTTCCCCCTGGAGCACACGCATCCCCCTGCCAAGAGAGCTGCGAGGCAGTTGCTAAGGAACAGCTGTGGAAAATTCCCAACCAGATATGAGCAGATAAGATTCCCAGTGGGAGTGAGGAACCTAGAAAGCCACAGTCACTGCAGAAAATGCAGGAGTGGCCAGTGCCTGTGCTATTTCTGAATTGTTTCCAGGCTTCCTGAGATCAGTTGAAGCAGAAGAATCTGCTTGCCTGTATACTGTTTCTGTAGTAAAGGGGAGGAGAAGGTGTCTCAGGGTGCTCATGGGGCTGGCCACTGCTAAATGCAAGTCAAGTGGGCAGCTTTATATGTACCAGACTGGTAAGATTTATATGTACCAGACTGGTAAGATTCCTCCAGAGATTGGGCAGGCTGGCACAGGAAATGCAGTTGGAAGGGGCAGGCAATGCCAGCAAGTTGTTGGAGGACAGAGCTGTGAGCCGCAGAGTCAACTCATCCTTCCCCAGGCTAACCTGCTCCCCGCAGGTACGTGGAGGGCTTTCGGTGTGGACAGTAGGGTCAACTGCTTGCCCAGTCTGCTGCTGTACATGGAAAGGGAGAGGGAAACATCTTATCCTGTATCTCTGTCAGAAAAGTGTCTCGGCCAGCCCTGGCTTGACATAAATACTTTTCTCCCTGCATAACAGTCCACAAACTATTTAACCCGCTCCTTACAGAAAAGCACTTAATAAGACTGGGTGGCTCCATACAGTGCAAGAGAGTATGTGATCTTGGACACCCAGTGTGATGACCTTCAGCCTTACCTACCTCATAGGGTTGTTGTGAGGACAACATTTGATATTTTATGTATGCCATCCCAACTCCTTGGGAGCAAGATGACATCCAAATCTGACAAATTAGTGAAGAAGCATACTTGTCTTCTGGCCAAATATTGCACAATGGTTCTGGAACTGGTGAGTTTTGGTGCTGTGGGCATGTGGTGTTTACAGTAGTTTCCTCAACCCTAAAGTATTTGACTTCTTGCCTCCTTCCTGTTTCACTTAAATTATTCCTCCTGTCTGTGCCACACATATGGTTTGACAAAAATTTAGGAACACTGTCATTAATCTACCAACTTTTCCCAGGTTCACATTGATGGTAACAACTACAAAAGAGCAGAGTACAATTTAATGGGATTCCTTTTTTGCTGACCATTCTTTCCCTTGCATTTTCATTTCTCCTGCAGCCTCCCAGTGCTGAGCTCTTCCACTACGACAGCACGAATGCTGTCAACTGGGGGATGCGAGGTGAGTGGAAGGATTGATATAAGGTCCCTCTATAAGTACCTCAAAGAGGAAGGTCAAGATCTCTTCTTGCTAATGCCAGAGTGTAGAACACAGAATAATCAATTCAGATTCAGGCTGGACATCAGGAAAAGCTTCCCCACTGTCAGAGCAATACAACAGTGGAATCAGCTGCCCAGAGAGGTGGTGGGCTCTCTCACACTAGAAACATTCAGAAAGAAACTGGACAGCCATCTGAGTGGGATGGTGTGACATGATGTCCTGCAACAGCAGGGGGTTGGACTCAGTGGCCTTCATGACCCCTTCCAACTCTACCATTATTCTGTGATTCACAAACAAGTTTTGGGAGAGCTCCCCAAGATATACTTCTTGATATGGGATATGAGATATACTCCTTGAGCCTCCACCAAAGGCCTTGCCCAAGAAGTTCTTATAGTTTTTCTTCTCATGAGTTAATGCTGGCTACAGATTGTGGGATCAGTACATTGCAGTATGTAAGACAAGCCAGTGCATTTTTCCAGAACATAAAAGATAGGATGAAGCCATAGAATTGTTTATCGCAAGCTGACTCTCAGACCCTGGTAAAATCCATTTTAGGGCAAAACCAGCAAACAGCAGCAGATGCTAGTGGCAGCTTGGCCAAGGATGGCTGGGCAGAAGAGCCAGAGAGGGTGGTGCTGGCACAGGGGTCAGCAGTGATGACGTTTTGGAAGGAAAGATGCAGCCACGGATATGCTGTTTGAAGGCCCCTAGATTCCAGTTTCCCAGAATTAAATACATGCTTCAATTGGTGTGAACTGCCTAGAGAGCTTCAGCTATTAGGTGCTATAGAATGCAATCAAACAATCCATAAAGCCTCCCCTCTGCAATCAGTGGGGTTTAAAAGGGCTTAAGTTTGACTGGATTATGCCCCAGGTTTCCAGCCTCTCAAAGCTGTGAAGGCAGGCTTGAAGCTGTACTATGAGTAGTTCGTGAAATCTCTGAAGAAGGAGGAAGGCTCAACAGTGCTTTCAGCTGCCAGAGAAAAGGGCGTCAGGCTTCCATAAAGAAAATAACTAAATTTATGTAAAATATGGCAAATACAGGTCACTGTAACTTTCCCTGCATGTAACTGGGATAATGCTGCTGCAGAATTTTAATTTCAAATGCTGTTTACAGATTGCCTTGCATATAGAGTAATTCAGCACTTCTCCACAGGACAAAATGAATACAAATTCCACACATCAAACCCTTTCTTACATTTGAAGTTTTGATATAATAATCCTAACAAAGTTTACAAATGCTAAAGATTCAATGGCTGTAAAGAGGGCAAGGAGAGTCTGACCTCTATTTGTTTATCTTTCTCTTCTCATCTCATCTCTTACAGAATACAAGGTAATATTTCCTTGCAAATCTTATGAATTCTAAAACCTTCAGTCCTTTCTCAGTGGAAAGCAGGAAGCTTCCATCTCAGCTATTCCCAAATGCTGAAGCTGGATCAAACTGTGGGAAAGAAGAACCTCTCATCTTCTCCTGTGGTGCTGTGAACCTACTCCTAGAGTCATCCTTGGCTTCTTTCTGAATATGGCGGGGACTAACCTGGGAGTAGCCTAGGCATGGTAGTTCTTGCAAGCAGAAGCCACGTTTTATGGATTACCTTGTGAAATTTGGCATTTTGTGGGGAAAGGCAAATGGAGCCAGCAGTGGACAGATCCTGGATGCTGTGCATGTTAGCAACAGCAGGCGGGATAAGAGGGACTAGAACATGATTGCTCTGGAGGGACAAAGCAGAGAAAGGGCCAGAAGAGGGGAGGGGAGGGGAGGGGAGGGACAAAGGTGCTTGCTGCGACATGCTGTCTCCAGCTTTCTCCCTTAACTTTGGTGGGAAGCGTCACCACGTGGCTGGGAACTATGACTCCCACCAGTGGTATCTAGAAATGAAAAATCAGTCCTCTCCTTCAGATGTGAAAAATGGTTCCACTTGGGTACCAAGATCAAGTTCACTGGCAGATTCTTGGATCTCCCTGGCCTCTTCAAGCAGCAGCTACTGGGCCTTTGGGCTTTCAGGCAGTTTCCAACTAGGGATGGCTAGAATCACAGGGTTGTCTCAACCGAATTCCTCAAGGCAGGACCAGCATGGAGTAGGTCGCACCGTGTCCCTTTGCAAGGGGATGGGGACAGTGCAAATGACATCATGCTCACTCTGGAATAGTGGGAAGAACCTGGGAAGCCGAGTCAGGCCATCTAGCCCAGCCTTTACACTAACGGGTGACCCCTCCCTGCGGTTTCGGAAGGGTCTTTTGCCAGCCCAGCCTGGAGATGCCAGGGATTGCACCTGGGAACTCCGGCACACAGGGCCTGTTCTTCGTCACTACTCCAGAGCCCTCCTCAGGGTTTTGTGGCAAATGTTTTCCTTTATACCTATAGCCATGCACCGAGATGAATGCAATGAAATGGCAAAAACTGCTTTTATGCTGCTGGGCGTTGAGCAAAGGGGCCACCATTAGTGCTGCGTGCCAGCAAGCATTGCGCTTGTGTTATGCAAATAAAAGGGGCAACTTGCCAAGAGGGGGGATCTCTGCACAGGTTTGGTGGCTGGTAGCCTATATTCCAGTAAGATAAAATGCGAGCGTGGGTGTTGTAGCCGCCTTTAATCCTTGCGCTTCTCTTAGATGTTGCATGTTTCCTCAAAGCTGTAGCTGCCCGCTTCTTTTAGAGCTTTGAGCCAGCAGTCTATTTTTGCCTCTCTCCCTCTGCAGATTTACCCTTATGAGCTGCTCCTGGTGACAACGAGGGGGAGAAACCGCTTGCCCAAAGATGCAGACAGGACTCGCCTAGAGGTACGGCACATCCCCCCAGCATTCCTGACAGCGCCTGGGTATGGTCCGATCAGCCTGCTCCTCTGGCCCTTTCCATGCAAAAGCACATTTCCAGCAAGGCTGTGCCTATCAGCTCCGGGTGTAGCACAAGAAAGAGGTTAGAAGGATATTTTGCTAACCAGGAGCCACCCGTGCTCCATGCAGACGCTTTTGCGGTTCAGGACTGCATTGCCACTATGTAGCTCCTTTGGCACTCAAAGCTTTTCACATGCATGACGGCAGCAATCTGAACAGAAGCGATACTCGGTAGGCTGAAATCAACTTTATTAATTGCTAGAAGTGAGACTGAGCATGCTTCCAGGTGTGGCTTCTGGCACTCTGAATGAGAAGACATGATGTGGCTGTTCCTTCTTAAGCTATTATTTTGTGGCAAGTAAAAAAGACAGAAGAAATGATGGAGAAACTCAGGAGGGTTACAAATGGAGGATGCTGGTGTCTGGATCCCTGTCAAACTCCACAAATGAGGCAGAGTACTTGAAAAATAGAAATGTAATCTGGGAGCCCCTCAGAGGAAGTGGCTTCTTCCCATAGGGCTGCCTAGTTATCATACTCATGGCGGATGAGCCTTCAACCAAGGGACTTCCAGGTTTCCAACGTGTCCTCATAGCTACTTTGCTCTAGCTCAGCCAAACTTGATAGCAGCTCGTGATTGTGGGAGGGGAATTACCTCAGCCAGCAGCAAGGAAAGGGAGTCAATAGCTATTCTGCACATACATGTCATTTCTTACTCAAACATGGTTCCATATACATTACAGCCATGCAATACACTACAGTGACTTTAAACTGCAAGGAGGTTGATGCCAGTTAGAAATATTACCTAAATATAAGGGTACTTCAACAAAGGAGTCGACTGCTTTAGAAATGTGTTTCAAAATGGCCTCCTTTTGACACATGTATCTCTTGGGGTGCTTTGGACATAAATGGTCTACTGCACTCTAAGGATGTCTGCAGTTGACAGTTTATCAAACCATAGTTTAGCATGACTATCATATGGTCACTTTGGGGCCCCACTGTGCATTGCAGTTGGTATCAGCCCTCTGTGACAGTAGAATAAAAAGTGTGACCCATGGGGTGCAGAGAGCCTCCTGCCCCCCAGTCTGGTGGGCCCAGACCCCCGCATCTACTGCCTTGCAAACATAGGGCAGAAACCAGGGAAAACTCTCCAGGAACAGGCTTTCTAGTGACCAGAACCTTCTTCCTAAGCACCTTACAACTACTGTGGAATAATGGAGCGTCGTACTGGCACTGATGGGAATTGATGCAAGCCCTTGACTCCAACCTCCTCCTTCCCCGCCCTCCAGCACATCCCTTTTTCTTCCCTCTAAGGTGTATTTGTGACTTTGCGGGAGGCAGCTGATGTGGTTCTTTTGAGACCAGCTGTGGGGAGCAGGGGGCTTGGCCTTTGGTTCACAGGACCTGAGCCAGGACTCAGAATGATCCTGTATCCTCCCAATCGCGTCACACATCGGCTTTTGTGAGAATGCAAAGGACGGCAGCTCAAGATTGATAGGCAAATGGTCAAGGATCATCTAATTGGGTTGAATGAGTTCAAATCCCCAGGGCCTAATGAACCCCATCCTAGAGTCATAAAAGAGCTAGCAGAAGAACTCTCAGAAACACTATTATCTTTGAGAAATCATGGAAGGCAGGAAAAGTGCCAGATGACTGGAGAAGGGCTAATGTTATCCCTCTCTTCAGGAAAGGGGAAAAAAAAGAACCTGGGAACTACAGACCAGTCAGTCTGACATCAATCTGGAAAATTCTGGAGCAGATTATAAAGCAGTGAGTCTCCTTGAAAAAACGCAGTGATTATTAGAAGTCAGCATGGATTTGTCAAGAACAGATCCTGCCAGATCAATCTGAATCCATTTTTTGATTGAGTAAACCTTCCTGATGGACTGTAGGAATCTTGACTTTAGCAAGCTTTTGACAAAGTGTCCCATGATATCCTGGTTAGCAAACTAGCTAAAAGTGGACTATATGGAACAACCATCAGGTGGATCCCCAGGTGGCTACAGACTCAGACTCAGAGTGTTCATCAGTGGCACTTTCTCAAACTGAGGAGCAGTAGCAAGTGGGGTACCACAAGGTCCAGTCCTGGGCCCAGTGTTCTTCAATGTTTTTATTAATGATTTGGATGAGGATGTACAGGGAACAATTTGCAGATGATACAAAACTGGGTGGGGTATCTAATACCCTGGAAGACATAAACAAGATCCAAGGTGATCTTGTAACACTGGATTGAAAACAACAGGATGCCATTCAGTAGGGACAAATGCTAAGTTTGCAGCTAGGAAAGAGAAACCAAATGCACCATTACAAGGTGGGGAATACTTGGATCAACAAAGCAAGAAGGATATTGGAATTTTAGATCACAAGCTGAATATGAGTCAACAATGCAATGTGGCTGCAAAAAGGACAAATCCTATTTCAGGCTACATGAATAGAAGTATCCTTTGCAAATCATGTGAAGGGCTGGTTCCCCTTTATTCAGCACTGACTAGACCTCATCTGGAACACTGTGTCCAGTCAGTTCTGGACACCACAGTTTAAGAAAGATGCAGATAAGTTGGAAAGGGTTCAGAGAAGGGCAACAAGGATGATCCAGACACTGGAAACAAAACCCTACAAGGAGAGGTTGAAAGAACTGGGCATATTTAGTCTTGAGAAGAGTGATATGATAGCACTCTGCAAGTACTTGAAAGGCTGTCACAAAGAAGAAGGACAGGACTTCTTCTCAGTCATCCCAGAGTTCAGGACACAGAATGATAGGCTCAAATGACAGGAAGCCAGATTCTGGCTAGATACCAGGAAAAATTTCCTGACTGTTACAGCTGTACGACAATGGAATTGATCTCCTAGGGAGGTTGTGAGCCCTCCCACATTAAAGGCGTTCAAGATGCAACTGGGCAACCATCTGAAGGGGATGGTTTAACTGGTGTCCTGCACTAAGCAGGAGGTTAGACCTGATGGCCTTCTGGCCCCTTCTCTACTCTTCTGTGATTCTGTGGTTCTAGAAAGGAAGGAATGATGTAAAAAAGGAGAAAAATGGAGGCATTTCCATGTAATAATCAGAATCAGAATGCCAGAATAGATTAAGGTTCCTGCCTGCCTTCTGACATGCTCTAGGAATCAGGTTCCATACAGCTTATTCCAGTGCCTCTTCTTCTTTCTGGTGATTGTACTGGGGTGCTGATGTCCTTGCTGTGAGTCAAGAAGTTGCTGCTGGGGGCGGGTGAGCATGAAAGGGCCATGCGTGTCTGTGCATGCGTATGTGCAAAGCTCCCACCCTGCCCGAGACCAAAAAGATTCTTCGCCCTGCTATATGGTGAGCACAATTTTTCTACATTTTAGCACACCATTTCTGTTGTAACAGCTGGTGACCCCCGTGGATCTCTTTCCCTCCTTCCAACAGGGGAGCAGCAGAAGGGAGATTTATAAGAGTAAAGACTATCAAATGCGTATCATTATTGTTTTGCAAATTGTGGCCTAGTTCAATGAAACAGAAATCATAACATGTTTTACTCTAACGTTTTAATTTCCTTTATCCTGGAACTGAACATGGGGGTGGGGAGAGTGCATGTCCCCACCGGGGGGACAAGGCCAATTGTCACCTATAACCAGTCCAAATCAATTCCCCCCCATTCATGCAGGCTGCACACAGACAGACACAGAGGTAACAGTGGTTCATGCAACACCTTCTTGCTACGCTCAGGTAAGTCAAGGCTCAGTTCGAGGATGCACTGGCAGAAGGTGGCTGCAGGTCCAGAGAACCACCGTCACTCACGCCCCTTCCCAGGCAGATGTGCATCCCGAGATGCTTGAGCACCGGCCACGTCTGTGCAACGCTGTGCCTCTTCTTTCTCCCTGCAGCGCCACCTGTCTCCAGAGGAATTTTACCAGGTCTTTGGCATGACCATTGCGGAGTTCGATCGCCTGGCCTTGTGGAAGAGGAACGAGCTGAAGAAGCAGGCACGGCTCTTTTAAAAGCAGTGCATTATATATAAATATATATATACACACACACCTATAAATATATACATATATATATAATTATATTATATATATATCTATATATATATATATCTATATATATAGAAAGATCTCTATATTGAAACTCTGTATAACTCTTTTTTGTTGTACAGTAGAACCTTGGCTGCTTTCTTTCGAAGCCTGTAGAGTGAATTGAAGCCTCCCAGATATTTTTATGCTCTCTTTCTTTTATTCCTTTTTTTAATGTAATTGTTATTTGAGGGAAAGTTTTTGAGCAGGGTGGGCGGGGAGGAGGAGGGATCCTGTTTTTATACGGAACTTTTTCTTACGTGAATGTCAGGCCATCCTGGGCATTATGATATCTCACCTGTGAGTCTCTTCGCTCCATGCCCAGCCCAGGGAAGGGAGGTCACTGGTGGCAAGAGGGACTGACTCTGCAGGGAACAAAACATCATTGCTTACACCCAAACATGGCTTGAGGCAGCCTTCACCCGCCTGCAGCGATGGGTTAGACTCAATGGCAAGCAACTCAGCGATCACGGGCGAATGCTCGGAGCTGGAGTCCGAAGCAGCCGGAGCTCCCCAGGCTGGGGAAGCTGGGCTGATGAACAGCAGAAGCCCTCCGGAGGCTGGATCAGGCTGCAGGTTCGTCTCGCCCAGCCTCAGTGGTCAGCCCAACACCTTGTCCTTCTTTGCTGTTAGATCCCTGTTCCTCTGCCTTAGCCACGTCCTGGGCTATGTGTGCGCGCACTACACGGCGTCCTTTAAAAAAGTAATAATTCTGCATCAGGAAAAAGTGGATGATGAGGCTTGGATGTACTATGAAAATTGAACTTATTTGCATACCCAGCAGTCATTCAGATGCCCCTGAAACCTAATAAGCAGAGCTGGAAGGTGATGGCCACCCAGCACCCTAGTTTGTCCCCAGTATCTGGTAACCAGACAGACAGCTTCTGCATGTGCTTCTGATCACCTGCTCTTGCCAGTAGGCATGATCAGGCCTGTCATCCATGAGCACAGACCATGTTCGCCTGCTGAACGGCATTGTCTTCTCACCACGGTGGCAGGCACGCCGCTCCACCCACTCCGCAGCAACCCCCTGGAAGTAGTCAGCTGGGGCACTTACTGAGCCCCACTCTGGTTTCAGGGGGTCTACCAGGTATTCTTGCTTTCTTACAAGGCACGAGCTGGGGTTCTTGGGGGGCTGAATTCTGTGTGCACTTAAGTAGCAAATTCCGTATGCCTTCTGCACCTGAACGGGTGCACGGAATGTATACAGCCCTAGGCCAGTCTTGCCCAGCCTGGTGTCTCCAGATGTTTTGGCCATCAGCTCTCATCACCCCCAGCAGCATGGCCAATGAAAAGGAATGCTGGGAGTTGTAGTCCAAATTACCTGGAGGGCACCAAGCAGGGGAAAAGCTGTGCTAGCCCCATCCATGAATGTGCCAGTTAAAAACAGCCGCCACCCCCTTCCTTTCCTTTAGCATCAACTTCCATCAGTCAATTTGTGTGAGGTATAGCTACCAGCCAGTTAAACCAGTAAGCACTGCCATGGGCACTTAATTTTACAAAGATCAAAACCTTTCCTTTCCCTTTTTTTTTTTTTTTTTTTGCTAGATTTCCCGAGGAAATCAACATTGCTTTCTCTTTTCTCTTTTGACTGTGTCCTTTAAATAAGCTTTGTCTCTTGTTGTGAAGAAGTGATATTGGAGGCATTGCATCTCAACTTTGTGGTTTGTATAAGACTTGGGTCCGTTCTAATAAAGCATTGGACTTACCTGAGGAATCAAACCCTGACATTTCAAATGGGCATCACAAGAGATGGATCATAAGGGGGGAAAAAGAGATGAAGTGGGAGGAGCCTTTGTACTTGCTGGTACATCTTGCGCACCCTTCTTTTATATTGATTTCGCTGGGTTATCTGGCCTCTCATGGCCCATCAGCAATACCTCCAATACCAGATTAAATCAACATGATAGCCTTCTGAATGAAGAAATGTAAATGGAATGTCTTTATCTCTGTGGGAAATTGTAGGTTTGTTCTGCTTTCTTAAAAAAACTTTTCTTATCTAATACACTGTTTGAAAAAAAAAGGGATTGTGTGTTGTCTCATGTTTTTGTCTCGATTGGCACTCTTCTGCTTTGGAAATAATTGGGAAGACAAGGTTCAAAATGGTGGATTTCCTGGTAGGCAGGCAAGTGCCATGGCCATCCATGCTGTATGCACTGGCCCACTTTTGCAAAACAGATGTGGACAGCATAGTGCTGCCTCTTTTTATCCATTTCTGATTGTCTCCAAAGCCTTATACAGAACTTGGTGGATGCTCTCCCTTGATGAAGGTCTGTAAGCAAAGCCTGGACAGCCATCTCTTGGCATGTTCCACATCTGGATTACCTGCACTGGGTAGCAAGCAAGGAAACCACGAAACTGACTTTCCACTCACACTTTTTTACTCTATGGGGAAAAGAATGTTCTTGGCTCAGGAAGCACTGCAGGATTACCCCATATCCTATAGAATGATAAGAAGTACTCAGGAATTATAATACATAATTATGCAGTGTGCATTCCTGGAACAGGAATGTACTTGTGTCTCAAAGGTCATTCATAGACCACTGTGGCTATCGTGCAGGTGCCACTTTGGCCCAACTTCCTGGCTACCCAACAGTTCACATGTTGATATCCAAGTCTGAAGAGACACCTATTGTGAGAAGAACAATCTGTTCTTTCTGACAATGGCACAATAAAAGATTCAAGGGTGAGAGAGGCTTCTTATGCCATGATATGTTTTCCCCATATTCTGCATGGAGGTGGGTAGAGTTGAAAACAATGTATGATAACAGATGTTTGAGGGCTGCACTTAGGGTGAACGATAGAAGGGTTTGTTTGTTCATTTGTTTAAAGGTTTTAGAGACTGTCCCATTACTGGCATCTCGGGATGGTTTACAACAAGCACAAATAAAATAAAAATGGCATAGCATCCAGTGATTAAATATTAAAACCACAATTAAAACCAATGAACAATTAAACTAATGGGGAAATAAAAAGGTTTTTGCCTGGCACCAAAAAGAAAAAAGTGTTGGCGCCAGGCGAACTGCTCTGCATTAAGGCATCTCCCTTTGAATGTGAAGTGTGGACTTCTCCCTGGGTTAACCATGTGGGCTGTGGTCCTTGTCTTCTATCCAGGAATGTTCATTATGGAATCCCGTCTTCCAGAATTCCACTCAGACATGGCTGTTCAAGCAAACTGCCCTTTCACCAGAGCCCTTCCCTCCATGATCCTGCTCATGTGCTGTCTCCATTATATGGACACAGGGACAGAGAGAAGTAGCCCTACGCGGGAACGTCCGTGGGTACATAGCACCAGGGTTCCCTGGCAGGGTCTTAGTCACCTGTGGTGCTCTGCCACAATTGGCCGAGATGCTAAGCAGACCACTGTTGTTGTGGGAAGAGGTGAAAATGAAGGCTCTGGGGCTATCCGTTGTCCTCAGACTTGTGTCAGGCATAAAATGACACCTTCACAGAAGGTGAGAATGAACCTGGGGTAAGCAGAGGACTCTTCTGACATTCCACTCTTCTGACCACCTTTTCCCTCAAGTGCTTCCCTAGTCTGCTACCTTCCAGATGTTTTGGACTTCAACACCCATCAGCTGTAGCCGACATGGCCAATTGTCCAGGAATGTTAGGAGCTGCAGTCCAAAGCACCTTGAGGTCACCGGATGTAGCAGTCACTGTTCCAGGATGTGTGCCATTAGTTCATTAAGATGCAATGGTCATAAAACAGGGCTGTGCCCACCCTACTCACTCCAGATGTTTTGGATTACAACTCCCACCAGATATTGAAGGAATGGCCAGATGTTCTAGAATGCTGGGAGTTTTAGTGCAAAACATCTGGAAGACACCAGATTGGGGCAGGTTGCTTCTGAGGACACATTTGATTCTTGTATGGCATTTGAGGCTCCAGGGTATAATGTAATTGTGCCCTGGTTTTCCTGATTGTTGCTCCTTTTTCTTCACCCCACAAAGGAGGCATAACCAGAAAAACCCTTAAAAAACTTGGCACAGTTGTCCCAACTCATATACAAGAACTGGAGTGAGGTTGCTGAAGGACTTAGAGAAGCACTGGCCCCACACCAAATCCTGACCCTTAGCCCATATAGTGTCATGAAAGGGAACGACCTACAGAAAGATCGCCTGCTGCAGATTCCAACACTCTCACGAGTCAACGCATGATGCGTGTGAACTGGTCCTAGGATGCTGAGGCAGGACAGGATTTTCATAAATGTTTGCAAAACTGTTTGCAACACCCTCTTCCTATGACCAAGAAAAAACTTGCAATCTCACCCATATATTTCCTTAAGGCTGCAATCTGGAGATGTGCCTCACCAAACTCAGTGCAGAGATCTCAGTTGAGTAAACCTTTATAGGATTGTGTGTTCTGGGTGGCAGTGTTGTCTTTCAGAATGTATGGATACCAGGTACATGGCACACAAACACATGAGGTTGCTACTTTGTGATGAACATAAATCAGTTGGATAGGTTGTCTGTAACTTCAGTGAGCTCTGGCATGCGAGGAGCAACCCCCTTCCATTCCTTTTGCATTAAAAAGAGAATTTTTCCTTTGAGCAGTCTGTAAAGCAATTAAGGAAGTTGGAGCTTTGATGGCTCCTGGAATTCCAGGGAGTGCGTGGATGTGGCATTTCCAATACTCAGGAACCAGGAAGGTCACCTGCATGTTACAAAAGTAGAAGGGATGGGAGCATAATTATAGAGGAGTGTTTCCTTCTGATAAATCTTCCTCTGGGCTCACTCAAATAACATTTGCCCTAGTGTACTGATGCAATTCTGCTGTTGCCACTTCCTCCTGTCCTGTTCCCTTTGGCTTCCATTCAGAGCAGAAAGATTTATATGGATCAATATTGGCAGGCAGGCAGTTTTATGCACTCAGAAGAAAACAGAGAAGGACTAACAAGCCCCATAAAGGGAATGAGGCTGCTTAGGAAGCAAGGTGACATATTCTTACTCACTGATTACTATGAGATAAATTTGCACAAAACAGGGTGCATGGCAAATAACAGAAGCCAAACTAGTAACTAGCAACCACACTCATTCCTGATATGGAGAGTAACAAGATAGGTGATAATCGCCTCTCCCCTTGGAAAGTAACCCTACATTCTGTTCAACGAAGAGCGAAACACCTCTCTGAAAAAAGGTTTGCATGCTAGTCATACTCAGTCCAAGGTATTGTAGAAAAGGGACTGCATGGTGTGGTCATGTGTGTGTATACACATGTCTGTATTCTCTACAGCTCATAGCTCTGTGTTACACTGTGGCCAGTAGCTCTTAAAATTACTTTCCCTAGTTTGCTAAGGGTGCAATTCTATGCATATTCATATAGAAAAAAATGCCCTACAGTGCCCAGCAGGTTTCAGGTAACATTGCTGGCTGGGGCATGCTGGAAGTTGGTGGGTTTTTTCCTCCCTAAAAATGGCTAGAATTATGCCTTAAAAGTACTAACACATAGCAACTATTCTTAATCCTTCATTCAAATTAATTGAAATATTTGACAGGTTTGCATTTTGTACATCTTGGAATACTTTGTTAGTAGTTCAGTTAGAAAACCAAAAAACCAAGTCAGTTCAAACCTCTGTAACTCTGAATCTCCAGGGAATATTTATTTAACCAGTTCAGATTCTCCAATATGTTTAGTATTAAAGAATCAGAATCAGTTTATTTATTTATTTATTTATTTATTTATTTATTTATTTATTTATTTATGAGCAATTCAAAAGAGAGTGTGAGCAGGTTGTGGGCATTTTAACACTCCTGGACAGAAGCTCATATATCTGACATAGCCCAGAGCCTTACCCTCTTGCCTGTCTCTTAGTATGTTTGCTCCCCAGTTCAGTTTACTGGAGTAAGAAGACCCCAAGGGTCAAGCTCTGATTTTTACAAACCTACAAGAAAGATTTACCTTTAAAGACTAACCCTCCTTTGCTACTTTAGGTTGTATCAGGCTTTAGTTCTATTGAAAATAGAACAGTGAAATGATTTTCAATTAGCTTTTGATAAATCATGTATTGGTCTTTTCATATTTACACTTTCAGTTGTTCAGGTGAGCTCATCTCTGGTTTTGTTTCTGTATCTGTACAGGTACTTTCTGCAAGTTTTTGTTTTCTTTTCTTTTAAGCATGGAAAATGGGGCATTATAGGGAAGGAGACAGCAAGATTGATTTCCCATTCTTTATTTACACTATTCTGCTGTACCACAGTGCCACCTAGAGGTTGTGACATGGAAAAGCAGCAAGGGAAATACGAGGTGTTCCGATCTCAGTTCTGCAACAAAACGGAAAGCAGCTACATTGAATTAATCACCTTGTCTAGAGAAGTCCTTACAGTGGATGCAATCCCTATTGTTTAAGTATAAGCCACCTCCGGCAACTTCATTCAAAAGTCTATTGTCCTGTAGACTTGAGACATCCTCATTCTGTTTCAAAGATGAGCCAAACAAATCCAAACCAGTGGTAGGTAAGATCTCAGCTTTGAGAAAGCTGCATATTCTGACTTTGGGCACAATGCATCTTGCCAGCCATTACCTCCTTCTGAGGAATAATGCTGCATTTTGCACTGGCCCTGCCCCAGCTTTGCCATTAGGCCACTGCATCGTTGCTGAATCTGCTGGTGGTCCCTAATTCATGTTGGGGCTATGAGCCTATGAGCATGCCCAGCTCACAAAATAATATCCCATTGTCATGAGCTAAATCATAAAAGCATGTGGAAAGTGCATGGTCTATGATAACTTATATAGGAGTGGTTTAGATAGTGGAGTCTATGTCGGGACAGGAAAATGGATGAAAAAGGCCAGTTATAGGCACCTGTGACTTGGCACATTAAAGAGGCAAAAAACAACAAAACAGACATGAACTCTGGCCCTCCAGTTCTGATTCATCTGCCAGCAGGAGACCAAGACCACCCCCACCCCTGGGGGAGCATAGTTGTATAACTGACCACAAAGTTAAAAAAGCTTTCCCGCACTGAGGCTATTTTTTCCAAGTTTCTGACAAGCCATCTTATGATGCACCATGCTGAGTGGTCTGTGAATCATAGCCCAAAGACGGGTTTGGGGTCCTTTCTGATTAAGAACTTCTGAAGCGTTTCTCCTCAGATGCTGGAGGGAAGCTAGACAAGGCACCATTAAACCATTTCCTAGAAAAGCAAATGGAAAGTATGGCTTTTCTGTTCCAAAAGACCTCTTTTGAGTTGAATAATGCTTTTCTATACAGTGGGCACGCTAGCTTGGCTCTGAGCACCAGACATTACCACACATTCCACATTCCACCCAGCTTCCATTCCAGTTTACTATGATCCCCTCTAATTTTGCCTCTGGGATCCCAGAGGATAAGAAACGGAGCGGCAGAGGCATCTGACCTGGGTTGCCCTGGACAATAGGCGGAGTGAGATGGCTGTCCAGACAAAGCATGCACTGGCCAAGGGCTTGAGGTACTGTCTGTGCCCTGCAGTTTGCTGTTCTGCTCTGAGTTCACAGAATCATAGAATACATGGAATACAGTGGTACCTTGGCTCACGAACTTAATCCATTCCATGACTCTGGTCACGACCCAAATTAGTCATGAGCCAAGTCAAATTTCCCCATAAGGTCCAATGTAAATAAGGTTAATCCATTGTGTAACTACTTTTTTAATCAGAAAAATGTGAAGCAAAGTGACAAAGAACAACAAAGATTGCGGCCATCTCCCCCCACCCCCGAGCACAATTGCGGCCATCTCCCCCCGCCCCAGCATGATCGCAATCACAGCCATCTTCCCTGCACAAGCGTGACTGCGACTGCAGCCTTAGACGGGCGCGATCGCAGTTGTGCTCAGACAGGGAAGACAGGTGCAATCATGGCCATCTCCCTGGGCCTTGAGCATGACCATGCAGGGAAGATGACCTGAGGCAATTTTTTTCCCTGAAATTTCTGTTCGTGACCTGATTTGTTCGTGAACTAAGGGATTTGTGAGCCGAGGTACCACTGTAGTGGAGTTGGAAGGGGCCATGAAGGCCACTGGGTCCAGCCCCCTGCTGTTGCAGGACACCACGTTACACCATCCCACTCAGATGGCTGTCCGGTTTTTCCTTGAATGTCTCCAGTGTGGGAGAGCCCACCACCTCTCAGGCAGCTGGTTCCACTGTCGTACTGCTCTGACAGTGAGGAAGCTTTTCCTGATGTCCAGCCTGAATCTGGGTTGTTGCAACTTGAATTGATTTGCAGTAGAGTCCCATCATCACCACTGAAGTAAGATCCAGTCAGCTTCTTCATGCAGAATTGTGGATGCCACTGTGCCATCTTTGCAAAATCACTTGGACTGGCCATCTCCAAATCGATTAGGGCTGTATGCATAGGTGACTGTGCCTACTCAGCTCCTTGATTTCAGCTGGCTTAGGTATCCGTAAATCTGCATGGTATGGGACTGGCTGCACATGATTATGATGAGCATTATTTAGTTCATTTCTGTACAGCCCAAGAACCAAAGCTTTCTGGGTGGCTTACAACAGGTCATGAAAATAGAATGAAACACAATATAAAATAGTTAATTTAAAAATCACAACATTTCACAGCAATGTTTAAAACTGAATTCAAGCAGCTTAAATAGCCAAGACAAATAAAAACGGGACCTATTGAACAGCTGACATAATGTAGAGCTGCTTGGCAAAGCAGACAGCTGTCATTTGATGCTGAAAAGATAGTAGAGTAGGACACAAGCGAGAGATGATGATGCAGCCAAAGTCTCTTCATAACGGACGGACTGGCTTTCCCACATGGAAAGCCAGGTGAGAAAAACTGTATACAACCAGCCTTCCCCAAGATGGTGCTCGCGGAAGGGTTTGCACAACAACTTCTGTTGGCCATGCTGGCTGGGGTTGATGACAGCTGAAGTCCGAAGTATTGGGACTTTGCCATCCTGCAGGATCCAACAGGCCCATTTCTCACATCCTGGCAATGCAGGCTGCCTTCTGCCCAGAGTTGCCTATTCAGAAGTGATATCCACGTAGGGCAGAGAGGGGGGAAGTGTGGCCCTCCAGATGTTGTTGGAATGCACCTCCCATCACCCTTCATCATTGGCTATGCCAGCTCAGGTTTTTATGGGTAGCTGCAGTCTAACATGTTAGTTCCTGGAGGGCCACCATTCCACATCCCAGTGTAGGGGAACATGCCTTTGAAACAAAGGGTCTTTTCACACCTTAAAACAACGGATACGTGCATGTCTAGAAAGAAAAGCTCTTGCAGCTCCCCTATCCCCCAGCCAGCCAGAGTTCTCAACAGGCCCAGCCGGGGCCCAGAACAGATCTGGCAGGGCAGAAGCTTCTGTGCACCGGCGCCCACTTCGCGAGGCGCGAGCCGAGTCGCGGCCGGAGACTGTGAGGGGCCGAGAATGGGACGCGCGAGGAGGGCTGTGCGCGCGCGCGCGCGCGGGAGGGGGGCACCCACGCGGCGGAGGGAGAGGAGCGCGCGGAGGGCCGACCCGGGTGGGAGGGAGAGATTCTGGCTCGCGCGAGGGACTGCGGGGCCATCCGCGCGCGCGCGCGCGCGCGCACTCCGGGCAGCGCTCCCCCGCGGCCGCCGCTTCTGTCACTGCGCGCAGGCGGCCGCACCTGATCCGGAAGGGCGGGGTAAGCGCCTGGAGCCGAGCCCCCTGCCCCGAGCGGCGGAGGGAGCGGCGCGGCTGCGCCGAGCGAAGGCGCTAAGACCCTGCACGTCCTCGCGCGGAGGAAGCGGCAGGGAGGGACTGCTCTGCGGGAGACGGCTTAAAGGTTGACGTTGGTGCGCCTGAGGAGCGGGGCGCATCCACCGGGCGCAGCGGCGCCGAGCCGAGCCCAGCCGAGCCGAGCCCAGCCAGCCAGCCAGCCAGCTCTCCCTGTCCCTCCATGCTGCAGACCATGGACAGACTCAGCGGTAAGCTGTGCTAGAAGCGACGGCAGCTCCAGCCCCGATTGCTCTGCTTTGATCTGCGGCTGGAAAGCCTGCGCTTTAAGCACTCTGCTTGCGGAGGGAGGGAGGGAGAAAGGTGCATTTGGGGGGCGGGGGGCGATGCTTGCGGCGGGACACGCTTCTCCTCCGGCTGGGAAGCTGCGGGACCGCGCGCGCTCCTGTCCGGGTGGGAGGAACTTCGGTGCCGGGGGGAATATTTCTGGCGCCCCGGCTTTTGCGAAGACCGCACTCCCTCCCTGGCAAAGACCTGTTCGGGCCAGCTCAGCCTCTGGCGATCCGGGGGTCCCCGCTTGCCCTGACGGAGCCTTGCCGTTGCTTCCGCGCAGGGGCTCGTCCGCGGGCGGCATCCGTCCACCTCTCTCCATCCGATCCGAAGAAAGCCCGTGCGCCACGCCCACGCGGACTCTCATTCACGGCACGTTCCGCGTGGGCATGTGCCATTGTGTGCTGGAACATGGGGAGAGGAGGAGGAGGAGGAGGAGGGAAAGGATAGCGGAGGTGGCGGGGTGGGAGAAAAGTAATATCGGTGCATGTGCCTATGAGAGGTGCTGCTTCGGAGGCGTCAACCGTAGGTGGGCAAATGCAATATTGTGCTGCTGGGGCTGGTGATGATCGAGACAGCGATCCGTGTCCGCAGAATCGCGAGGCAGCGCAGGGCGGTGAGAAGCGCTCCTTGCCTGGGGCAGACCTTTTGGTCGACAAAACAAAAGAGGCGAGATGTGCACACCCGCGCCGCCTGGCCTCGGCGGGGCTTTGTGCAACCTGCGCGCCCGCGGGGAGGACGCGCGCCCTGGCCAGACCGCCTTCGAAGAACTTCCCGGGTCCCTTCCAGGCTTACTCGCTTGCTGCGCCGCCGATCCCGACCCCGACCCGACCCCGATCCCGATCCCGATCCCGGGCTGTGCTTACTCGGCAGCACAAGCGCCTTGTGAGCTGCGCTTTTCGGAGCTGTGCCTGCGTTTAGAAGAGGTTCGGCCCAATTCCTCGCGTGCCTTCTCGGAAGTAAATCTCACTGAGTTCCGTGTGGCTTGCTCCCAGTGAGGAGCGAGGCCTCCTCTGCTTGAGGTGGAGGCAAAAAGCCGACGAACCCGGTAGCCTAAGGGGATAATTAGGAAACATTTGCAGCCAAAAGGGCAAACAATGTTTGGTTCCTCTGCACTTTTGCGGGACTGGAGGGGGGGGGGATATTCTTCACATAACTGAAGTCAGTGGGAGTCATATTTGGAGAGATGCCTGTGGTGTAGTGGTTAGAGCAGCCTTCCCTCAACCTGGCTTTCTCCAAGTGTGTTTGACTACAACTCCAAGCATCCCCAGCCTTATGACCATACTGGGTGAAAGGGATGGGAACTGCAGCCCAAGCACATCCAAAGGTTGCCAGGTTGGGGAGTGTTGAACTAAGACCAAGAGGACTTCATTCTAGTCTCCTCTCAGCCATGAAATTCACATGTGACCTTTGGCTAGTTTATCTCCTCACCTACCTCACAGAGTTGTTGTGTGGGTAAAATGTGTGTAGAAGAACCTTGCAAGCCGCCCCAAACTCCTTGGCCTAAGGGTGAGGTAAAAAATATAATCAGTCCATGAGCACCATGTGGGCATTGGAGGTGCCTCGGCAGAAACCACTGCACGGCCTTCTCATGGTGTCCAGCATCCAGTGCTGAGTTGATGGTGCATAAGATTTAACATTGGCATGGGCAGGAATAGCCATCAAGGGCAGAACCAGTAGGCTTCTGGAAGATGTTGCACTCCAGCTGCCATCAGCCCCCGCCAGTATGATGGTTCATAGTCAGGGATCTTGGGAGCTGTAATCCAAGAGGACCACCGGTTCCATCACTGTATTATCGGGAGTCTCAGAATCCTAAGAACACGTCTTTGTCCCTCTTTGTCTCTGGGTGGATTTTTCAACACTCCCTTTGGGGTGGCTCTGCACAGCCGGCATTCTGGCTGCTGAGGCTCTGCACATGCCTGGTGGGCAGAACTTGCTGGCAGTGTGCCCCGACATGGAGAGCTTTCCTTCTTGCAGGCTTGCAGTGGCTTACTAGAAAACGGTGCCTGCGTGTGCTGTCGGTCTTTGAGCACATGTTCCCCTGCACATGTGCACCAGTAGATGCAACACCATGTGGGCAGTAGCCCAGCTTCTCTCAGCCCTCACTCTTTTCGGAGCTGTTTTCAGGCTTGCTGTTCACATGTGAAGCTAAGTCAATAGGAACAGAGATAGGATAGGACAGAAAGGTGCTACCACAGGTGGCTTCCTGTCATGGGTACTCAGGACAAGACTTATTTGCAGGCAGGACCCCCTTTAAACTGCTTTGCAGATGCCAAACTGCTGTGGCCATGGGCTTCTCTCCAGTGATAGTTTAACAATACTCCTTATTCTGATGGGTCTGCTCTAAATAGGAATGACATCAAGTATGTGGTGGTGCTTCCTAGAACTAGAAGTTCTGTCGTGGCTGTCGAGAGCGGCCTTTCCCAACCTGGTGCCTTCAAGATATGTGTTGTATTACAAGTCCCATTATCCCCGATCAGCTAAGTCTATTTGGCTGGGGATATTAGGAGCTGTAGTTTGACAAATCCAGAAGGTACCAGGTTGCGGAAGCCTGGTCTCCAGTAACTGGGATGCGATGAATGGTATGTTCTGCATAAGATTCAGTGGGAGCAATGATACTGGAACATGTTCCATGTTTCATTGTGTTTTGCTTTAGCTCACCCCTTTCTTTTGGACTGCCTGCAAGTCCATCTGTAGCCATGTCGCCTTCTCACCTCTCCCATGATGAAGTGAAATGCTGGTATCGAGTGGAATCCTAACCGTTCCTGCCTGGAAAGGCTATGTATATCTCCCCTCTATATACAGTGTACACATTCCAGCAGCAGTCTGGGCAGCTGGTGGGCCGCTCTCGATAAGTTTCTTGCTATAATATGTGGCTATAAATAAATCCCTTTCTGCACTTGGCCACCACTGGCTTCTGCTGAGGATTGCAACAGAAACTTCTTTTTCCCTGCTGGAGAAGTGTCTCTCCAGCAGTCGGGGAGAGAATGCTGATAATGCAATCTTGCACTGGTGCCGGCGGGGCAGTGGCACAGAATTCATGGAGAAATAGGAAGGAAGAACACACTCCCTTTTTCCTGTTCTGCCCCGTGAAAGGGGTGGCAGTGTGTGATCTTTGTACCCACCAAGCTGAAACAGTGGGCCATGGAATCTCATCACCACATTGCAGACCTAGTGAAGGTCAAGAGTTCTCCTTTTTCCTCCATGCAAAAAAGGATGGGAGATGCTTCCTCAGTGGAAATTAAATGGCCTTCCTTCCTTGAGGGATTGGCCCATGTGCCACTCAGGTCCGCATTCTGGTACTCAGCCAGCAGGACTGGAGAAACAGTGGCCCTCCAGATGTTTTGGGATTCTAATTTCCATCCCCCATGACCACTGGCCATAGTGTCTGGGGCCAATGAGGGTGGGTTCCAAGCATCTTAGAGGGCTGTTGATTCCCTGCTCCTGCCTTGGCAAAGGGGTTTGTCCTGCTTCATTCTTGCATTCCTCTTGAAGTACGAAGTAGTTCTGAACTATTTCAAGAAGCACTTGTTAAGGGAAAGGTGTTACTTCCACATGCTTTTTTTATAGGCAGTTGGCATGCAACTTGCTTCTATTGTTCATACAATGAACAATTGCTGTAGTGCTGCTAGCTGGCATGTTACAGTTAGGACTTACAAAGCAGTTTCTCAGCATGAAGAAATAAGTCACAAACACATACAGCCTTTCTTTTTAAAACTTGGCTGATGATGTCCTTCGAATTGAAGAAGTTGCAACATTGCTTTGCTGAGACTAACAATCTACCTTCTCATTTTGAGGCCTCTGGCTATCCTGTTCTGGGCCAGCCTTCCCTAACTCATGCCTGCCTGACATTTTGGACTTCAATTCCCATTGACTTAGTTGAACATGGTCAATGATTGGGAATGCTGGGAGGTATAGTCCAGGCTATCTGGAGGTTTAAGGAAGGCTGCTGTGTGGTGATAAGAGTGATGATCAGTTGTGGGAACCAGTGGCACGAACTATTGACTCTATTGCCCACTCTTCCCTGCTCCTTCCCCCTCACCAACCTGTTTGTTGCATAGTCAAATTCTAAATTAGGAAAGCAATTTTGAGAGGGGAAAAGCAAGAAAGGGCAAAGTAGATGGAGCTGCTTCTGGACAGAGGGCTGCTAGAATTTCCTATGAGAAGGCAATGTGCAACCTCATAGGAGGCCTCAGTCCAGAATAGGCAACTGTTCTGGCTTTCATCTCCTCAGTGGGTTTTTGGTGATAAGGAGAAAGACAGAGGTTGTGGGAAAACATAGGAGGCCTGTGAAGACACATCTAGACCTCCTGCAAAATTCCATGAATAAAGCAGGACAATAGTGGCATCAGAGCTTCACCTTGGAAACACCGTTAGGGAGTTGGGGCAGACAACTGGAATGGCACACTGCTTGGAAGACACCCTGAAAAGCATAATTCAATAGCTTCTCTTTTCCCACACAAGCGTGCAGTGGGGGACTGTTATTCCTTTGGCAGCCTCCTGTTTAAGGACAGCTCAGTCTTACTTAACCACTGCAGAAATGCCTGTATTTGGAATTGCTGTGGCGTTTCAGTGCCTTCTATGAGAACCACAGCAGATAGTACAACTTTTTAAAAAAAGAAGTTTGTACTAAATTGCTGTTGGACAGCTCTGGTCTAATGTAACGTTTAGCTGTACTTCTAAGGACTGTGATTCTTTTTGAGAGGGAGAGACTCATCAGCAGATAAAGCTCAGTTACAAACTCTAGTATGGAGTTCTGAGTAGGAAGATGGACAGATTGCTTCCCTACCTTTGTGTCATGTACCTTCCCATCATCATCATCAACATCATCATCATCGGTAGTAGTAGTATTTAATTTATATTCTCCCTTTCCTCCCCTCTTCTGAAGAATCCTTGCTGGCTTACATAGCTCCATTTTATT